TGCCAAGGCTTGTATGGTTCGTCAGGCAAACCAAAAACGGGCAATGTCGCCACAGGCATTGTATCGGTACAGGTCCAAAGACGATTCAATCACCCAACTCATGGAAACTGTTGGCAAGGTCTTTTACGGATGCCAGCACATTTCGAGAGGCTGAACTGTTTTATTTTCAAAAACACATAGCAGTTGGCAGCAAAAAATAGTAGCGTTTTGCCTGGCGTTTTCACATAAACAGGTGCCAGATCATCAAGAAGTTTGGGTCGACACCACTTCTGACAGGAGTTTTAACAAATATACATATGCATTGAATCTTCAGCAAATTTGTTTTGTGGATTTAAATCGATCAAACAGGTCAATGATATTTCCGTTTCTTGTTACATTATATGGAAACGGTACAAGTGCTGTTTGTGGTCGTATGATCAATTGCCGGAGGAGTGTCATCATCGAAATTCTAGAGCAAAAGGCAGGGAAACATGACCAGCATTCATACTAGCAACCCCACGTGCTGTCAATCGTTGGACGGTCATTTCAGTATGCATTTTCATTATATAAATGAAAAATTGGTCGAATTTGATTTTTTTTTTTCTTCGGGACTAGGTTGTGAAATTTGCGCAATCAAATGTGCGTTCAAGAAAACATCCAGTGATCGGTGCCGAAAAAACATGGTATGAATAATCCACGAACATTTGAAAAAAAAGTAGGTGAACAATTTTTTCTTAGGCCGACTTGCCACATGTCAACCCACCCCAGGATGTGGATGATGCCCAGGCAGAGGACTTTCAACAGCCATAAATGGATAATAATTGGGAATTTCTTTGACAGTTTATTGTGTATTTCTTGGAATATCCTCAACAATCGGAACAATTTTTTTGATCGTTTGCAATTTGCAACTTCAAACTTTATTATCGCTGATGTTTGAGTCCTTTCTTGAAAAATCAATGGTCTGCGATAGAAAACGCTTTTCTGCGAATCGACGTTTGGAAAGGTTGAGTGAGTCCTCACGGCACATTTTACTACAGCTACATTGCTACATCTCGTCAGGCCATCGAATTCTTTTTGTACCGTCCCCAGTGCAATTCGTTTTGGCACAATGTGAAATTCATCCATTGTCCACCCCACCGTCCAAAGGTCAGACTTGGCGGCATTTAACGAAGCCATTGACAGCAAAGTCTTGCATAGCCGCCCTGTAGCGCCAGAGGAGGCACTGGGTCATCGACTGCATGACTTGAGAAAACGAAACGAGAAAATCAATCCATGAATATCTCCAAATGTTGTTTGGAACAATGCTTTAACTTTATTTACATATTTTTGCATTTTTTTTGCGAACTTAACCTATAGTCATCCCATTCCCCTAGTATTATACACCCCCTAGTCATGGTTCCCAAGATGTGTAAATCCCCGAAAACTTTACGAAACCATGGTTTTTGAAGGGTGTTTAATTTTGTTTAATTTTAGTTTGATGTGTAAATCCCATTACTAAACCAGGTGTTTAATCTGAGGGAGAAGGGATTAATCATCATACCATTGATGTGGCGGCCAGACTCATTGCATGCAGGTACCCCACCTCCGCTGTCGCGCTTTCATGGGGCTTGGGCACCAGGTGGTCGCCAAGTTTCGGGAGGATCGTTGCGGGGTTTGAAGTGAAACAGAGGATGAGCTTTGCGATATATGGGTATGGATCAATAGCCATTTATAGTGGATTTACCCATTAAAAATGGTGATTATCCATAGTTATTATGGATCAATACCTATATTAGTACCATTTGTAGTGGGATGAACATCCATAAATCCCAGCTATTTTGATGTTAGGGGTACCAGGTTTTGACACACTGCTATATGTATATTGAACATAGGGGATTGCCAATTTTACGAGTGAATTTTACGGCTGGGGGTTCCCCCAATCTTCAAGCTGAGTGGGTGGGGGTGGGGGGTATAATATCTTGCGCACTGCGTAAGATGAAAGATGTTGTGACGTTGATCTTCGTTGTGGTATACAGATGGGGGTTGGGGGGTAGGAGGGGCAATGACGTCCTGTGCACTGTGTAAGATGAAAGATGTTGTTATGTTGAAGATGTTGAAGATGTTGCGAGGTTGAAGATGTTGTTGCGTTGAAGTTGATTCTTCGTTGAAGGTGGTCAAGATGTTACTATGTTGAAAATGTTGCTACGTTGAAGATTTTGAAGATGTTGCTGCGTTGAAGATGTTGGAGATGTTGCTACGTTGAAGTTGTCGCTGTCACACCGAGCAACAGCTTCAAAACGGTTGGAAAAAAGGATGCGCATTTCGCCTATGGTTCTCTGGAGGATAATGACATTTCCAGATCATGAAACACCAACGAACTCCAACTATGATGGCGCCGAAAATGAATGCATTCAATGTATTACCATGTTCATTAAACACCATAAAACATTGTAAAACGCAGTTAAAAAAAACCTTTTGATGATTTCAGTCAAGCTCCACTTCAACTGCCTTCCGCGAAAACCCCATTCTTTACCCTTTAAAAACAAATAATGTATATATATATATGTAATGTTCAGTCTGTTTTCAGCCTTTTGAAGATGCTGATTGTCCAATCGGAACCAAGTCGAACAGGTGGCAAAGAAATCAGAGTGCAGCTCGTTTCTTTTTTTTGCGTGATGTTGTGCGCAAGACAGAAAGATAGAGAGATAGAGCGATAGAGAGAGAGAGAGAGATATAGGTAAACAGACAGATAGATATATAGATAGAGAAATAGAGAGAGAGAGAGATAGATGGATAGATAGATAGCTAGATAGATAGATAGATAGAGAAAGAGAGAGGGAGAGATAGAGGGATGGAGAGAGAGAGGCAGGGAGAGAGAGAGAGAGATTGAGAGATACAGAGATTGAGAGATAGAGAGATAGAAAGATAGAGAGATAGAGAGATAGAGAGATAGAGAGATAGAGAGTAAAAAGCAGAGAGATAGAGAGATAGAGAGATAGAGAGATAGAGAGATAGAGAGATAGAGAGATAGAGAGATAGAGAGAGAGAGAGAGACAGACAGAGAGACAGTGAGATAGAGAGATAGGGAGAGAGAGATTGAGAGATACAGAGATAGAGAGATAGGAAAATAGAGAGACAGACAGAGAGACAGAGGGATAGAGAGAAAGAGAGAAAGAGAGAGATTTAGAGAGAGAGAGAGAGAGGAGAGAGCGAGATAGAGAGATAGGGAGATACAGAGATGGAGGGAGAGGGACAGAGAGAGAGAGAGGGAGATAGGGGAACAGAGACCTTTTTTGTTGTGCCAAACAATTTCATACCTTGAGCCAACTATGCAGGATAAGAGCGGCCCAGTACAAATCCACTGTGCGGTACTCCGTCTGCCAGAGGTCACCACAGCAAGGCACTCGGAGTTGAGGGCCTTGCATCACAGCTGTGGCTGAGACTGTGATCTGAGGACATCCTGATCACCTTGAATGATCCGCAAGCGGCTTTGGCATATTTCGCCATATTTCCAGACTCCCAGACATCTTGGACATCACATTTTTTTTTTTACATCTTGTCACAATTGTCAAAGTCGCAAGTTTAAATTTAAGGCGGCATTATTTGTAGATGTTCAGCTGCTACATGACAGGCCGTGGATGAGGGTAGCCCTGCAACTCCTGAGGTGCACTGATGGAGCAAACAATCTTTGAAACCGAAATTGCATTTCATTATAGTATACTACACTAACATATATTTTATAAAAAACAACATTTTATTGACTTGTATTGTGTTGTACTATACTGTACTGTACTGTACTGTACTGTACCTTACTGTACTCTACTGTACTGTACCTTACTATACTATACAAAGTCATATATGTTATATTATACTATCGAAGGAAGTTTAGAAGTCAAACTTCCGACAATATGGACAGATGAAAAAGCACAAGTGGGAGCCCAAATGCGGTCCAAGAAGTCTCATAAAACCTGTAGGTTGTCGACATCAGCCCCAAAGTCGGTTCAGCAACCTCCATAAAACCTGTAGGTAGCCAACGCACAGCCCCGAATGCGGTCCAACAAGTCTCATAAAACCTGTAGGTTGTCAACATCAGCCCAAAGTCGGTTCAGCAACCTCGATAAAACTTGTAGGTAGCCAAAATACAGACCCAAATGCGGTCCAACAAGTCTCATAAAACCTGTAGGTTGTCGACATCAGTCCCAAAGTCAATTCAGCCACTATAAGACCAGTAGGTTGCCAACATACCGCCCCCCAAAAGCGGTCCAGCAAGAGCCATAAGACCTGTGTGTTGCCAAAATGCAGCCTTCAATGCGGTCCAGCAACAGCACGGCAGGTTTTCTTCGCGCAGCTGTTGCGATCTTTCAGGATTATCGATTGGAGCCTCTTTGCTTGAGTCATGTTGGTGAGCCTTTCTGGAAACATTGCTTTGTAGAATTTCCGCTTTAGAATCCAGCTTTCACCACCAGGGCTTCTTTTGTAGGGAAACTTGCGAAGTCTCACAAAGTAAAGATTCACTACTGTTTCAAACAAGAGTCCTTTTCGTTTGGTCTGCTAATTTTTCTCTAACACTTCTTTCAACAACCAACCTTTTCTCCTGCAGAAGAAGCTTGTGCAGATCCTGGTCAGCTGTCAGCTTTCCTACCATTGTACAGCGGAGCTCAAAAGGTGTGTAGCTGGACGATTGGAAAACCTGTAGCCGCAGGTACACCAGGTCAGTTCGCAGACATGGACTGTGATTTTTTATGTCAAATGGTCGAGATTGCCGTGACGCCTAGTCTAAACTCGTCAATGCGCATGCACTCATGGACTGATACAAAGAAGCTGTCCAGCTCAATGCATGAAATCATGAACTTGCTTCTCGGGTTGCAGTATTTTAGCTTTATGTTTTGGTGCAAATGACTGCAAATCAAGTTACGTATGTCATCAAAGCCTACTGACCCTGGCATCATGAACTGTGTTCATATGCCGCTCAAAGCCTTGAAAGTAGGCAATAAAATGCAATAAAATACAATACAGGATTTGTTCTGCACGACTTCAGTACGACACCTCGTGGATTCCTCAAGCCACTGGCAGCCATGATTCCCTCTGAGCACATCGACAACCCACGGCTCTTCTTTCAAAGGTACCCCTTTCGGTTCGAACTTGTTGTCCCTTAAAGCGGGCCCATTGGTCAACAATTCAGCATGGGAAATTGACTGGGAAATGAATGGAAGACACCATGCATGTCTGCATGAGTGTTTGCATATTGACAGTATTGATTTAGACTTTTATTTATTTATTTTTGAACATATGGATTTACAACACATTGCTAGATATAGATATAGATATTGATGTCTTTTTCACTATGATATTGACTGGGCCGGCATTTGGTGACAGTTCCAATGATGGAACATTGTGGGGTGCCCTCCCGCGGCCAGGCACGACCCCTTCCGCGAAGCGCAAGAGTTGCTGCAGGTTGGGTTTGCAGCTGGCAATTTCCGTTGGTATTAAACTTGGAACAACACAATTGATCCAAATCCCACGGTCGTCGTCGTCAGCGTCGTCGTCGTCGTCGTCCTCATCATCATCATCATCATCATCATCATCACTAATGATATCAATTTCCCAATGATTTTGTAGTGATTTCCAATGATTTCATGCATTTTGATGGTTTTTGATGGATTTTAATGGCCATTTTGCACCCGCAGGAGGCCAGAGCGGCTCCAGTGCGGAAGGAGTGGCATAGCCGAGGTGACGGTGACCTTTTTAGGTGACCAAAAGTGGGGATATTAGCAACAAATGGGGAATCAATGGAGGTTATAACATGTTGGATTCGGAAGGTTATATGGGAAAATAGATGAAAATAGAGAATCAATGGCGAGGGGCAAAAGGGGAGAACAGAATCAAATTGGGGAATCAATGGGAATATATCGCCAGTCAATGGAGGTTCCAAGTGGGAATAACTGGCAAAAAATGGTTGCACATATTTGGAACATGAGAACAAACATTGGGCTTTAACTTGTAACCAGCAACTGGGACATGTTTCATATAACGGTTATATATGATCTTAAACATTTGTAACATACCCAACTGGTTGGTTGGTTGCAGTGCAGTTGAAACAACCACAAATGGGGAACAAACAGGGCTCTAGCTGTACGCAAAATCATCCATATGGATATGGATCTGGGTCAAAATCCAGAAAATCTAGGGAATTGCAGATGGACTGGTGATCTTTTTCGGTATTGGCCATGCAAGAAATTGGAGTAGCCAATGACTCAGCACAGCCACGTGGCATCCATGGACCACTGAAATGGAGGTGCAACACGTGGTATGACTTTCTCATGATGATGATCATGGTTGGATTCAGCAGTTCATCATGCCAGTTGGTCAACATGAAAATGTGTGTTTCCATAATTAGGAAGTTTCCTGTTGACAACCATAATCTCGTTTCTGGTGGTAGATGGTTTCACATTCGCGTGGGTTCACACGATCGAAGCAATCTTCACATCAACATCACGAAGTCTATTTTATCATGGACCAGGCCGCCAGGCCTAAGCAGATGTAATGATGTAATCCTTGACCGGCAGTGGTGCCTTGCCCAAAAAACACCCAGCACACGAGGCCCTCCTGCAGAGTTGGACTTGCCTTATGAGGGACCAGTGCCTCAGGGCCACGTCAGGGTGCCGCACTTGCCGCAGGTGCGGCGAATTCGGACACGGATGCTATTGATGATGCCTATATAATGTGTGTGAGTACGCTGCGACCCAAATCCATCCCATATCATCCCATGGTCGAAAAAGTATACAGTACACACACACATATATATATATAATGTATATATAAAATCATTTAATGGCCATAACTTGGCCCAGAACCCATGACTTGAGACAAGATCCCAGAGGAGGTGAGACTCGGGACCCGGGACTTTGCTCACTAAATGATTGAGGTTTCATCTTTCTACAAAGCTTTCACCAGGGATCGACTCATTCTTGAAGCACCATGAGACCTGTAGGTTGGCAACCTACAGGTCTCATGGTGGGTTTCTTGGAGGGCTTTTGGGCTGCAGGTTGGCAACCTACAGCTTTGAAGGGTTTAGGGGCTGTAGGTTGGCAACTTACACGTCCCATGGTGGGCCTGGATAGTTTTTCGGCTTCCTGTGGGTCGTCTGTTTGAAGGTTTCGGAGGTTGGCAATGGTTTACCCACCAGGTCCACCAGGTCCACCAGGTCCAGCATCATGGACCGTTGGGATGGCCCGAAACATGAGGTGAGCCGCCTGAGCCGCGAGGGCGCCCGTGCTCCACGGCGGTGTCTCGACATCGAATCGAATATGTTGTTGTTATTTGTTGTTCAGTGTCGCTATTACACAGTATTTTTTCTGATTATTATAGAGATGATGTGGTGTGAGTATTTATATTTGAAAGAACTATTGTATATTTATTTTGAGGTAGAGTTTATATAGTATAGGATATAGGATCGTATAGTATATAGTCTTGAAAGATGATACATGACTGTTTGTGAAATTGTTTTTCTACAAATACCTTCCATAAAGCCAGGGTAAAAATTCCTTTCCACCAACTCCGACCCCGAGTCTGCCAAAAATATAGTTTCATGTCTTGCTCATACCACTTTGATTTCTTATAGACAGACATCAAAAAGACCACGGAGTGTTTCCGCGGAGTCCGACGCGAGGCATAGCGCCTTGGACCCAGGAAGTGGTCGCTTGGGGCCTGGTCCAGTTGGGCAGCCAAGGTGGATGTCAATGGGGGTCAATGGGGGTCAATGTGCAAATGTTCTACTGAATTTTCATTGAACAATGGTGGTTAAGAGAAAAAACACTCCCAAGGGGACCCTAAAATGAATCGATCCAACAAAAACATTTCAACCGGCCTTTGATTAGCGCTGACTCAGGTACGGGCAGCTGCAGGGTTGCAGCCAGAGTCCCAGTTCACACCGTTTATCAACTGGAAAAAAAAACGGGAATGCCATCCCTGTGAACTTTTATGCATAGAAGTTTCACCTGGTATATGTGTGTGGAAAAACACATCCTACCAGGTCCGGCACCTATCACCAACAGTGCTGGCCACCTACCAAAATTCATAGAAACATCAGAAACATACCAAACTGGATACCAGGCCGCCTACCTACTCATATTACCCGCCTAGCTGTTTGCCTACCTCATTACATTGCACTGCACCACAGGGATAGAACCTTCCTTTTGCTTTGCGAGGATATCAAGACAATCAAGACCCTCTCCCCCTGATATTACTTTTTTCAAAAAAAAAATGCTTTGAAGTTCAGTTCATGGGGTCTTTGATGTTAGGAAGAAGTGAGAAGGGATTAGGTACCTGTTTGCTCCTGTTGGCTGCAAAGGTTTCGGCATTTAGCAACGCTCGAGAAGGAGCCGGGGACGGGTCAAAGCTGGAATGGGGAATCTGTGCGCTCCTTTGGAAGCGGCTCCTCATCCATAGCCTCTACCAATCAACTATATACTATTTTGCATGTTTTGGTATAGACTTTGAAGGTTGCTGGGGGTTCATATTTGCCTGGGGCCACAGGCATGGAGATTCCTAGAGCCATGAGTGGATGTATTGGTGAACGATTGAGATCTAATGAGTGAGCAGAGTATATTGACAATTAGGTCAATTGGTTCTATGTATTCTACTCATCTCTTGCTCAAGCCAAAGATATTACACAAAGATGGACGCTGACAATTATTATCCTTTCTTCGTTTGCTGAGCTGCTGTACTCAGTTGGGTACTCAGTTGGAAACTGGCTGCTAGTTCTGCATGGCACACTTGAGCTCCGCTGATGTTCCGGAGGAGAAAAACTACACCCGGAAAAACGTCTTGCTCAAAGAACAGCAACGTGGCGGAGATGGTGAGAAATCGACCTATCTACATCAGCTGCATGAGATCAGCTGATCAGCACAGGGTGACAGTCAGAATTGATCCACAGATTGGATCCCGGAACAAAACTTCCAGTACGTCTCGAATAGGGCCCCAAAATCCCGTGGTGAAAATTGATGTGATTTTCCCTGTTAAAGGGGTTGCAAATTGGGAATCCAATTCAAGGATAGTTTGAACATTTTTGCTTTGAAATCATTTTCCATGCTGTCAGGCATAGGGTATGCCGCAGCTATGGCATGAATTTTCCCATTTCAGATTTTTCACAATCTCTCTACTTCAGATGGTCAGATGGTTTGGAATTTTTGGTTTGGACCATCTCCACAAAGTCAGCAGCTCAGGCGTTTCCACGAGAACCGTTGTGCTGAAAAAGCCATGTGGGCTGGACAGCTCCCGGAGGAGCTACGTCCCAGGCCGCCTTTTGCCGCCGTTTTTGAGGATTTGACCTGTTAAATCAGACAGGATTACCCTCTGGCCCATTACCATGTACTATAGATGTACTACCCTCTGGTTATGTCAAAATAGCTATTGAAAATGGCCATAGAAATAGTTGATTTTCCCATTCAACATGGTGATTTTCCATAGTTATGTAAACGTTTACCAGAGGGTAAATGAAACCAACCCATAGGATAAAAAACCTGTCTGAGTTACATCATTTAAGATCTATGCAGCAAAAAGCTTTTCAGACAAAGCCACAGCGAAACGAAGACACCAGCCATGATCAGGCTTGAGGGAATTCAGGGTGAGCTTTGACCCTTCAAAACAGGAAGAATACGTTGCTCAGGGAGGGTTTGATAAGCCGCAAAAAACTCAATGCTTGGCTCACCAGTGACTCAGTGATTTTTCTAACCCTCTAGTCAGGGCATTTGATACCGTTGTGCCCTGGAAAGGTATGATCGATTCTCGACTTTTCGCCATGAGAACGGTGATGGCCGAAGCCTTCCCCACGAACGTGGTTTGGAACAGCGGCGCCGCTAGGAGCATTGCTGCTTGGTGGTTTCAAAGATCTTTTTTTTTTTTTAGATGGGTAGTACGAAAAATTGATAAGAACACAATCATGTTTGTATTTTTCACACTTGTATATATACATAATATATTGTACAGATTGTATAATTATATAATGATATCATATGTATTTAATTGTATTGATTTATTTGTGTATGTATGTATGTATGTAATGTATGTATGTATGTAATGTAATGTAATGTAATGTAATGGAATGGAATGGAATGGAATGGTATGTATGTATGTAATGTAATGTAATGTAATGTAATGTAATGTAATGCATGCATGCATGCATGCATGCATGCATGTATATGATGTAATGTAATGTAATGTTATGGTACTTTATGGTATGGTATGGTATGATATGGTATGGTATGTATGTATGTATGTATGTATGTATGTATGTAATATAATGTAAGGTAATGTAATGCAATGCAATGCAGTGCAATGCGATGTAATGTAATGTAATGTAATGTATGTAATGTATGTATGTAATGTATGTATGTATTGTATGTATTGTATGTAATGTATGTAATGCATGTAATGTGTGGTATGGTATGATATTGTATTGTATGGTATGTATTGTATGTATGTATATGTATGTATATGTATGTATATGTATGTATATGTATGTATATGTATGTATATGTATGTATATGTATGTATATGTATGTATATGTATGTATATGTATGTATATGTATGTATATGTATGTATATGTATGTATATGTATGTACATGTATGTAAATGTATGTAAATGTATGTGTATTTGTATGTGTATGTATATGTGTATGTATATGTGTATTTGTATTTGTATGTGTATGTATATGTGTTTGCGTATGCGTATGTGTATTTGTATGTGTATTTGTATGTGTTATGTGTGTGTATGTGTGCGTATGTGTGTGTATGTGTATGTGAACATGTATGTTTGTACGTGTATGTGTATGTGTATGTGTATGTGTATGTATGTGTATATATATGCAATGTATGTATACATATATAATATCTACGTATATGTACGTATATGTACGTATATGCATGTATATGTATGTATATTTATGTATATGTATGTATATGTATGTATATGTATGTATATCTATGTATATGTATGTATATGTATGTAAATGTATGTATATGTATGTATATGTATGTATATGTATGTATATGTATGTATATGTATGTATGTGTATGTATATGTATGTATATGTATGTATATGTATGTATATGTATGCGTATTCATATATATATACATATATATATATTTATACACACCATGTGTTGAGTTTGGGCAGGCTCTGGGTGCACATGAGTTTATTTTTAAGTTCAATGAAACTGCCACAATTGGATTCAAGAGTTGACTTGACCCAAAACTGTGGTAGTTGAAACATTGTTGCTTCCCCACCCTAACCCAAGTGCTGACCTGTGGAGATGTCCGCCTGGGCTATGGGCCCCTATGGTCACATCTGCCCAGTGGCTGACACTGGAAGCCCTGGCCGTGCACAGAGGACTAAAACCGGCGGAATGTGACGTAGCCGTTGTGTTAACTTGAACTTTGAGAGAGAGATATGTATATATATAATGTATATATTATATATATATATACATCCGTACTGGGGGATAACCGTACCTTGTTTTTTCAAAAAAGTGCATTTTGACTGGCCACGTCAAAATGGTCTCTTGAGGGGTTTGAAAAATGTGCTGGGTTTTGTTTCAAATAGCGTAAAACCTGTATTTTGGACCATTGAGCCAGCTTTTGTTTCACTTCATGGCCTTTTTGTATCTTTTTGTACATGCGTTTGCCCGTTTTGTGGAGCAAATCTCTATGTGACATCACTTGGCGCCATTGCCATTGCCTGACGCATGCCAGAAGCAACGGATTCACTTTCCGTCCACCAGCAACTTGAAGCATCACGTACGTCTTAGAAGTTGCATGATCAAATTGAAAGTGTCGTATCAAGTGCGTCTTAGAAGTTGCATGATCAGGTTGAAAGCGTAGCATTCTGGTGTGCTTGGAAGCTAAATGATGTAGGTTATAGCGTACCAAGTGTGTCTTAGAAGTTACATGATGTAGGTTAGAGCATAGCAAAAAATGGGTTTCTGTGAATGCATTCCACATGAACGTTAATGCGCCCCACCCAACCCCACCCACCCCTGCCCAGAAACACAAGATATCAGGGTCGGCTCAACCCCTGTTAGCGTATACATGTATATGCATGTATATATATATGTAAATATGTATGTTGTGTTATTATATGTTATGTAATGCTATGCAATGTAATGTAATGTAATGTGATGTGACGTGATGGAATGTAATGTCATGCATGCATGTATTTATATGTATATTAATAGGTGTATGTGTATGTGTATGTGTATGTGTAGGTGTATGTGTATGTGTATGTGTATGAATATATATGTATATGTATATGTAGATGTATATGTATATTGTGAATTGTACATTGGACATCATGCATTTGGACATTGGACACATGACCATCGACATTGAACACCATTTTGGAGACTTCGATTTGCCGGCCGTTCGCTCACCTTCACATCCATCAAGTGGTGGGCGGGCAGTGGAAACAGAGACCATTGGCTACAAGGACAAACGTGTTCACAGGGTGACCAGGGAATTTGGAGGCAGGAGATCAGGGATCCCCTAAATATCTTGGGTGATATTCGCATTGGTAGCGGAGCACTGGGCTGCCGCGGATAGGGTAGAGGACTCCCCTAAAAACAATTTTGGATAAACCTTCCTAGGTCAACAGGGTTCTTGGATAGAACATAGGCCTGTTGTTCTCACGGACAATTCACTTTCTTTTGCACGCCCTTTCCGGTGCCGTGGTCTATTGACCTGAGAGCCATGGCTTCTGGAGAGGAAACCGCGCAAGCAGCGGGATCCGGGACCTACAACTCGGCCATCCCCTGGAATCAGATTCCAAAGTTCATACCGGGTGAGACGGACTTGAGAACATACACCCGGAAATTGGAGTTCCTTCAGTCGCTTTGGCCGAAGGACCAACTGGAACATTTGGGACCTCGAGCGGCATTGGCCGTAGAAGGAGTGGCCTTCCAGAAGATCTCACGACTAGATCCAACCAAGCTTCGAGAACCTGATGGGGTTTCCTACTTGGTGAAGGCTCTTGGAGGCCAATGGGGCAAGCTCGATGCGGAGGACAAGTATGACCTTTTTGAGAGAGCCTTGTACCAAGTCTCACAGAAACAGGATGAAAGTCACGATTCATACCTGGCCAGACATGATGCTGCCTTTGAAGATCTGCTGAATCGTAAAGTGTCTCTTGAAGAAGTTCGAGCATACGTTTTGATGAGGCAGTCTCTCTTGACGTCCGAGGAGCGCAAGAGGGTGATCATGGATAGTCAAGGTGAACTCACCTATGATGGTGCTCGAAAACAAATCCGACTCCTGGGCTCACGCTTCTTCCAAGATCTCCAAGCCGGCACAGGGGGTCGCGGAACGAAGCTCAAGACCTATGATGTGAACTACATCGATGAGGAGCCGGTGTACTTCCAAGAAGAGGCAGCTGAAGAGGTAGATGATGAACTCCTGGTCGCCACTTTGGCGGAAGAAGGAGATGAAGATGCCAATTTTGTCCAAGAGTTCGAGGAGCAGATCATGGTAGCCTGCCAGGAATCGAGTGAACTTTCAGGCTGTTTCATGGCCTACCAAGAGGCTCGATCTCGCTTGAAGGAGAAGGCACGATCTCGTGGGTTCTGGCCTTTGACTGGACAGAAGGGACGCGAGAAGGGCAAATGGAATCGAGCAAAAGGAAAAGGTCATGGATTCCAAAAGGGATCAATGGTGAGTCCTGGCAATGTTCAGATGGGCCGTCGCAAAACTTTGGCGGACCGCATCGCAAATAGCACATGCAGGAGGTGTGGCAAACCGGGTCACTGGAAAAGGGAATGCCCTTTGGGAGCAAGCTCTTCTTCGGCTGGAGACATCAAGAAGATCACCGATGGAGAAGCCTTTACGGGCATCATGACTGACGAGTACCTGGTTGTGAACACCGACAAGAAGGCGATTCTGGAAGAAGGCAACGAAGTGATCTCGCAATTGCCTGCCTCGGCTCAGTGCTATCAGTATGGCACTCTGGAGGTTGGAAAGGTGTCCAAAATTCATGTGAGTTGTGGGGATGGTACCATTCAAAACAGCCCAAAAGCGTTTCATGGGGATGGATGTGATAACCCTGAATGTGTTTTTCTTGGAGTAGGGGAGAAAAGCGGTCGGAGTTTGCAACAAACATTGGTCCATCACCTGCGCAAATGCTGTAGGAATACTGACTCAAAGACCGCTGTTGCAACGCCCACGCATGAGCCAGTCCGTTCTGATGCCACTTTTCTGCAGAGCCACGAGCCTTCTGCAGGTGGTAGTGAGATTTTTAATGCTGAGGAAGCGGCCGATGAGGCCATCATTGACACAGGTGCCAGTCGTGCTGTCATAGGTAGTGGTAGGCTTGAGATGTTGGTTCAATCCTTTCCCCCCGAGATTAGGAGGAGAGTCATGAAGGTCCCCACTGATGGCATTGTTTTCAAATTTGGAAATGCTGGCCGATTGTCAAGTGACTATGCAGTCCTCCTTCCTCGAGCACAAAATGACTGGCTACGCGTTGAAGTTGTGCCGGGTCAAACACCCTTTCTTATCTCAAATGCAGTGTTGGGGAAGCTACGGGGAGTTGTTGATGTTGAGGGTCGACAGCTTGGTTTCAAGGGTAGTGATGTTTGGATACCACTGTTCGGGGTAAGGAAGAATCTTTTGGGAGTAAAAGTGATGGACTTGTTGATGAAGGCCCCCCGGTTGAACACGCGCGCACAAACACACATCTTGCTGACACAGGAAACCCAAAAAGGGGATGCATATTCCACTTGCCAACATGCCCAAAATTTTTTGCATGATTTGAATCAGAACAGTTCTGATGGAATTCAAAATCAGGAAAGCTGTTTTCTTAAGGAAAACGTTACCGAAAATCTTCAGCAAAATCTTGTCAATCCCAATGCAGCAATCGTGCTCAGTGAGGAAGTCACCACAGGTGAAATCCGTTCTGAAGGACCCACATCGCCTCGACAAGGCCATGGAGTCACCAGTGCCGTATCTTGCCCGGATGTTGACGTCTCCAGTGGACGAATCCCTGAAGGACACCAAGGTGTTTCAGGATGTGCCGACCACTCTCACTCGACCGCCGGGGGTGGCCAATCTGGCAGAGTGGGGAACTATGAAGATCCCATCGGGCAAGCACCAGTCAAAGACCTTTGCCACGGTCTACGAGAAAGAGAGGTCCTATGTGAACCAAGTGTGGAACAGAAAGGCAGTCGCTCCATGGTTGAGGAGCTTCCAACTCTACTGTCGTCATCGCAGAGAAGCCAGTGTCGATCACCACGAGGGCGAGGCAAAACGTCAGGGACTACAGATGCCGATCTCACCTCACATGACACCCGAGGTGGCAGAACTGATACGTGCGGGTGGAGCCCCATGGTTGACCCCACGCACCAACGATCGCCTGATCAAGGAGAAGAACAAGAAGGATGCAGCACAGAAGAGCAACACCAAAGAGGAGAACGAATGGACACATGTGTCCGAGATCGAGAAGGGCAACAAGAGAAGTTTGCCGAGTCAGAACAACACAATGGAGACACAGCCCAATGCCGAGAAGATTGCCCAACTGCAAGCACAGATCGCAGCCCTGCAGCGGGACCTCAATGTCGAGCTGACCGGGCAAGCATGGCAGTCGGAAGCGGCCTGAAGACCCTGACCCCCGATGAGGTTGTCCTCATTCAGAGTGAACTCCAGGACAAGTCACAGAAAATTCAGGACGGGTTGTCCAAATTGTTAAGTGACCCCAAATATAGTGGGAGTAAAAAGAGTTCAGAAATGAAAAGGGCTAGGATCAAATCTTCGGGGAAATGGGCAGGTAAGAGGGTTGATCTATTGGAAATCTATTGTGATGAGGAATCCGAACTTACCAAAGTATGTAACATGAAAGGAGGTAGGGCCCTAAGATTTACCAAAGAAGACGGGGATTTGACCACCAACTCAGGACAACAAAAACTGTGGACATGGATTGAATTATATGAACCCAGACATGTGTGGGTAGCCCCCGAGTGCCGGTTATGGGGTAACTGGGCCCGATTCAATATGGGAAGAAGTATGGAAGCTTTTGACAAACTCAACAGTGAAAGACAATCTGATATACCTCATTTAGAGCTCTGTAACCAGATTTATCTACACCAAATCTGCAAGGGAAGACACTTTCACTTGGAACAACCACGCGGGTCAGAGATGATCTATCAACCGCAACTGCAAGACATCCGGCTGGGAACTTTGCCAGCGAGCTTCGACATGTGCCAGGTTGGACGTTTACACCTCCCCTCCTCCAAGGACTTTCTTCAGAAGAGGACTCAGGTGTTTACCACAAGTCGCAAACTATTTGAAAGGGTTCATGCACAATTTTGTCCTGGGAACCATCAACATAACCCCATAAAAGGAAAATTCAAAGAAAAGGGGACATGGAAATCGGTTTCAGCGTACGCACAAGCCTACACAGCACAGTTTGCACGAGGTGTGATTAAGGAAGTGTTGGGGGAATGTAGGAAACCCGAAAGGCCTCTCTTAGAGGAAGAAATGATTTTGGGGTTGGAGGAAAAGGAAATTCATGAAAGACCCGAACTGGCACAAGAATGTTTGCAGTTGCAAAAGCGGCGTCGAGTTGCATTGAAGCAACCTGAAACATCCATGTATGGAAAAGCACCAACTTGGAGGGATCTTTTCCGAACAGCGGGATACGAAACCAAAAGGGTTGGTGGTCAACGTTTTGAGGGTGATCATGTGTTGATTAAACTGGCCCAACAATTGGTTTCCAACATGGATGTGAAACTAATCATTGCATGTCGCGGCACTGATCGTCATCGCATCGATGGAACCGATGGACATGGTGACCAACTCCCTTTGAGAAAAACTGTGATTATCGGAAGGGATAGTGGGGATATTGTGGAATTGGGGCCCCCTGAAGAGTGGACAAGGTTGCCTCGGTTGAGACAGATTCGGAGTACTGGTCCTGCAAAAATGTCATTGTCCATTTTTGGCCATCCACTGCGTGGAGGGGAATCTAAAATGATTTCCTCTTGTCCGGCCGAGCCTGCTGCTGATGTGCCCGTTCCGAATTGCCCGGATGGCAAATGTTCCTATGAGTCTCCAGGATCCAATCATCTGGAGATGGATCTAGGGGAAGAGAATAGTGTCAAAATCCCTGAAAAGGAACCCCAACGAGTAAAACAGGGAGACGGCCACCAAAAATTTGAGGGCTGGATTCCTAGGCTGATTCCCAAATCTGGACCAAAGTTTCTTAGCTTGGGGAAAGAAGAAAGGGAAGAGTTGCGTAGGTTGCATGTCAACTTGGGACATCCCGACCCCGAAAAATTTAGCAAGTTTTTGGTTGAAAGGGGAGCTAAGCCTGCAATTGTTGAGGGGTCCAAAGACATGTGTTGTGACACATGTGTAGAAACGCAAAACAAACCAAAGTTGGCTCAACCTGGTCGTATTCACTCTGATCATGACTTTAATGATGTTGTTGGTGCTGATGGGGCTTACTGGAGGAATCGCCATGGGAAGGTTTTTCATTTTATGCACTTTATAGATGAGGCCACCCTTTTTCATGTTGGGTCAGTGAGTGAACGCAAGGTTGAGAGTCAAATTCAAACGTACCAGGAAACCTGGGTGCAGTGGGCTGGACCAAGTCGCCTACTGTATCTGGATCCTGCTGGCGAATATGTAAATGATGCATGGGCTGCCCATCTTCAAGGCGATGGCACTCAGGTGACCATGACAGCAGCATCATCGCACTGGCAAAATGGAAGGAGTGAAGCACATGGCAAGATTGTAAAAATGATGCTAACTCGCATGGAGAAGGATGTGAGTATAGACACGGTTGGGGAGTTTTCACGGTGTTTGAGGCAGGTGTTTGCTGCCAAAAATTCATTGTCTCGTGTCAATGGCTTCACTCCTGAACAATGCCTGTTAGGCAAATCCAGACACCTCCCTGGATCTTTGGTATCTGATACCAATGCTGGTAGTCATGCTTTGGCTGACAGCGACACGCCAGAAGGAGTCAAGTTCCGAGAAGATCTCTTCCGGCGAGAGGCTGCGCGAAAGGCCTACGTCCAGGCTGACAATGATTCTGCCTTTCGCCGTGCACTGCTGCGACAAAGCCGTCCAGGTAAAGTGGAACTCGAAAGAGGAGACTGGGTTTTGTATTGGCGTCAGGTGAGGGGAAACAGTAGGATTGAGAGAGGGCGTTGGCATGGGCCTGCTCAGGTAGTAGCTGTTCAGCACAAGAGGATTGTTTGGTTGAGCCATCTCGGTCGCCTCATTCGAGCAAGCCCCAATCAAGTGCGGCCGGCGTCTCTTCGAGAATATGTGAATCTTCCCAAAGATGATGATGGACAGGTCATGGATGATAAGCCACAGGGGAGGAACTATGTAGAACTGGTTGGGGACCCCGATGATGGTGTTGGTGATGATCACAGAAATCAAGGGGAAGATTTACTGTCCGAAGGGGGTGGATATTGTCCGGGAACTCCCATCAACTCATCTGCCATGGAACAACCAGAACAAGAAGATTTCCCAGCCGATGACATGGTGGAAGAAAATGATGATAAGGGAAATGAGGAACTTGCACCACATGAGGTTCCTATCCCTGAGTCGGATGGTTCTGAGGATTCATTGTTTGGGGATGATGTAACGTTTCAACATTCCACCTCTGGGGTATGGGAAATCAACTTTCAAGAAAATGATTGGGAACCCGAAATAGCAGAGGCTTTTTGCGCACACCCCGAAATGTTGGAACAAGTTTGGTTGACCACAGGGGAGAAAAAGAAGCGGGTAGAAGTAGATTACCGGGCTCAAACAAAAGGGGATCGTGCACTTTTTGATGCCGCAAAAGCCAAGGAAGTCCAAGCATGGATCGACCACGGAACTGTCAAGAGAGTCACAAAGGGGACACTCAGCCCAGAACAAGTTTTGCGATGCCGTTGGATTTTAACTTGGAAAAATCCATCACCTGGATCCACAGAGAGAAGAGCAAAGGCGAGGTTGGTTGTTTTAGGTTTTGAGGACCCTGGTTTGCAGTCGGTACCGAATGACGCTCCAACCTTATCAAAGGATGGCAAGCAGCTGTTGTTGCAACAAGTGGTATCCAGGAAATGGAAACTTGTCAATTTTGATATATCCACGGCATTTCTCAAGGGACATGGAGATGGTCGAGCTTTGGGAATACATGCGCCACCTGAATTGAGGGATAAACTGGGTATCCGGGGAAGTGAACAGTGTGCCTTAATGGGTGGGGCATATGGTCGCATCGACGCTCCATACTTGTGGTATAAAGCTTTTAGGGAAACCTTAGAAAAGCTTGGTTTTGTCACATGTCCCCTTGATGGTTGTCTTTTCAGTTTGGTGACACCAGAAAAGGACGGATCACCACGAGTAAGAGGAGTCCTGGGCATCCATGTGGACGACGGAATCGGCGGCGGCGATGGCTACTTCCACAGTGTGTTGCAGAAATTAAAGGGGATCTATGATTTTGGGGCCTATAACGAGGGAAGTTTTGAGTTTTGTGGGGTTAGATATCGACAGTGGGATGATGGTACTATTGAGATGGATCAAACTGAGTATCTTCGTCGTATCGAACCTATCGAGATTCCCAAACATAGGAGAATGGACCCAAAATCGGATCTGACACCGGTGGAAGTGCAGCATTTGAGAAGAATCTGCGGTAGCCTACAATTTGCTGCTGTGCACACCCGACCTGACTTGAGCGCCAAGGTGGGACAATTACAATCCATGGTAACCAAGGGGCAGGTACAGCATCTCTTGGAGGCCAACAGGGTTTTGTATGAGGGGAAGAAGTATCCTGTTTGTATCATGATTGTCCCAATACCCGAACATCAGGTCACCTTCTGTTCCTTTTCGGATGCATCCTTCTCAGGATCAAAAGATTTAGCATCGAGACAGGGGTCGCTGATCTTTTCAACAGACTTGCTCTTGGCAAGGAATGAGCGGACAGTGGTATGTCCGATAGCCTGGAGTTCCCGACGGATCCCACGGGTGGTAACTTCCACATTGAGTGCGGAGGCAATCTCTTTAAGCTCGGCGCTGGATCGTTTGGGGTATATTAGGGTCATATGGGAATGGCTGAAGAATCCAGCAGTTGACTGGAGTAATCCGGGAAAAATTTTGGCAAATGCCCCAAAAGCAAGCGCAGTGACCGATTGCAAATCCGTCTACGATTTGGCGACAAAAACTTCCACGCCATCATGTAGCGAGTACAGGACAACGCTGGAGTGCTTGTTAATTCGAGAAAGGTTGCAAGAAAATATCGCAATGCGATGGATTAGCACTCAGGCTATGCTGGCTGATACTTTGACTAAGACAATGGATTCCAGTGTTTTGCGTCAGTGCTTGAAAACTGGCCAGTATTCCTTGTTTGATGAAACAGAAAGCCTGAAACAACGTGCATCCAAACGTGAACGTCTCCGGTGGATCACACGAGATGGTCATGAAGAAGCAACTAAAAATGTCCCCACATAAAAAGTTTTGGTTTTTGACGAGTGTGAATTGTACATTGGACATCATGCATTTGGACATTGGACACATGACCATCGACATTGAACACCATTTTGGAGACTTCGATTTGCCGGCCGTTCGCTCACCTTCACATCCATCAAGTGGTGGGCGGGCAGTGGAAACAGAGACCATTGGCTACAAGGACAAACGTGTTCACAGGGTGACCAGGGAATTTGGAGGCAGGAGATCAGGGATCCCCTAAATATCTTGGGTGATATTCGCAGTATATATGTATATATGTATATATATATGTATATATGTATTTTTGTATATTTATATAAATTTGCATACATATATACATATGTATGTTACAATTACAAACATATATGTATACATTTATATATGCATATATATATATACACAAATGAAAAACATATATACATGTGTATATATATATACAAAATACATACATAAATTTGTATACATATATAGCCAGCAGTATATAAATACATACGCGTGCAAATATTCGAGCAGTTTCCGTATTTGGAGTGATGATCCGCAATGTCCAGCATTTTTTTTCATTGAAACCACCAAGCAGAGGAAACAGTCCTAACGAGACTGTGAGCCGACGTGGCAATGACTCCGTGTCTCTGTGACATAGTTACAAAGAATTTGGAGGGCATTTTGTTCAAGCAGTTGTTTCGTTGGCTCCGCCCCTGATTTTAAGCTGCGGTCTCAATGAGAAACTATTGACCCTGAAATATGGGTGTGTCTGAGTTGCGGAAATTTGCCCCAAGTTACGTCCATTTACGTAATAGGGAATATTTGAACATTTTGACCAGTGGGTTTTAGGGCTACATGACGCATTTCCAGACAAATCCATATGAGTGACGTGTCACCAGGGCGTTCAGAGAGGTTTCACAAGATGTCGGTCGGCCTGCTCGGGCAGGCGGAACTCGAGAGTTGAAATAGCGGCATGGCTTTCATTCCAAGAACCGTCTCAGATTTTCAGGTAAAATTGTCATGAATATTCATGAATCGGGTATATTCTCACTAAAACATTTTGCACATTTTTGGAGTACATTGCATTTTTTGACCAATCCAAACTTGTAGAAACCTTTCAGAGATACTGCTTGGCAAGAGATGTGAACCTGCCAGCTTGGGACTGCCTTTCGCCCACCAATTTCACGGAGGTGGCTGTGCCAAGGTTAATACATGTTGATATCGTTTTGAGTTTGAACATATCTTTTGTGTTCCTCTTGATGTTCTTGCGTTGTTTTGATTTCCTCCACAGTTTGTACTCATTTTCTTTGCATCATTCTTTCTGCTGTCATGTGATCAGAAGAACAATTCCATATTCTGATGTATTCCGGTTCAGTGTTATGGTTCAAACATTTGCAATGAGGACTGGAGGAGCCAGGAATTCCACTGATTGTATGAATGCAACATGAGAATTCAAGGCAACTTCATGCTCTCTAGCCATGGTATAGCGATTCTTGTTTTGCAGTTGTCTTTAAGTTCGAGCAACAAACATGGGAGTTGTCAAACTCCAGATTTCCCCACGAAAAACCCTTCAGGTTCGGTGCCTGGCCATGGATGCATCTCAGATACGAACCTTGACTCTGGAGTTGCAGGCCAAGGATGTGAAGAAGCAGCAGAAGGCCGTGGCAATGGCTGTGGCGGAGTCAGATGGAGTCAGGGTCAGGGAAAATGGGGCTGTTTGGATTGAGAAATGGCTCTTGGTGATTTTTGAGATCTAAGACCATCACAAAAAGCGGGGTCAATCATTTTGACCCATACCCCCATCCCAAAAAATAGAGAGTTTGATCAGGTTTGATCAAAGAATGAAGGACCAGACGAGAAATGGATGGTTTCACGATGTTTCACGTTTCACCTCCACACGAGCTGTGCTCTGACGGATGTCTCCTGCGAAGGCCTTGAAGACTTTGCAAAGCCTTGTCAGCAAGGGAAGCACTATCGCTCCTCTGTATCTTGGACTTACTTGGACTTAGCAGTACTTTGGTGGGTTCCTTGCAGCTTAGGATCTTGAATGGAGATGCTTGAGGTATCCTTTCCAGCACTGCTGCTTTCAAAGGACAAGTATGTGTACCCGTTCCGTCCACTAGTTCATGATCACTTTTCATATTCAAATGACCAAACAACTTGAGGGTAAAGGAAATGTAAATCCATTCAGACACAACGATGTCTTGTTGCTTTTTTTTGCTGACGTAGTTTGCCTCTGAGGCTCCCAATAGTTCTAGAGCTCGTGGAAGAACAAGCACTACGACAGGACTGGCTGTGGCGAGTGTGCCATTTCTCAGCCAGTCGTGAAAATCTCAACATAGGGGAGAACCCCCAATCCAATGGTTTATCATCATTTTAAGCCCTTTTTGGAAACTGCCATTTGCAAAGCATTTTTCTGTTTGTGGTTTATACACCCAGCTGTCCGTGGCCCATCAACTTGGTGGAACAAGTTGACTGTGACTGTTGAATGGAGGATGCTATCCAAGTGCTTGCAGCGATCCTCGCACTCCCAAGTGCCAGAGAAGAGTGTAGCGAACTGACAGCAAAAAGGGAGGCGCCTAGGCGCCTCTACTTTTCCATCTTGCAGAGCGTGCAGTGTAGATTGCAGTGCATTCTTGGCGTTTGAATTTTTTCCAGGGCCAATCAAACCTGTTTCGCTCGGTGGAAATGAGAGCTTCATTGGAAGGCAATGATTCAGATCTAAAACAAATGCTGGAAAACATGGGGGTTTTGTCTCGCATTTTTTGCGACAGTGCTTGTTTCAAGCATTGGCTATAGTCTGGGACCAGCAAAGGAAGTCTTGGTTACCAAGCTGGGAACCAATTATGTCACTATATTGAGGGATGGTCATAGCTCCATGGAGATTTACATGCCCAATACCATGGCCCAAGATGCCCAATACCACAGGAATCTCAGTTTGGGATGGATGACCATACCACCCGTCATTCCATGTACCCTCTGGTAATTTAACGTAGCTATTGAAAATGGCCATTTATAGTGAGTTTTCCAATTAAAAATGGTGATTTTCCATAGTTATGTTAGTTTACCAGAGGGTAAGCCTGACCATGGCACATTGAAACACCATGCTTTGCTTCTCTGCTTCTAAGGCAACTTTTCTGGCGTTGTTGGGACCCTGCTTCAAATCTTGACCAAATGCGATCCGCGTGGGGTTGTGGCTGCTAGGCGTGCAGTGGTCAGTCAGTGGTTGCGTTGGGGAACGGCATGGGCACTGCCCACTTTAGTGGATTTAACCATCGATCGGATCGGGATTCCACCATCAGGGATCGACTTTTTCCCAATGCATCATGGATCATATGGATAATATGGATATGCTAAATGTGCCGGCGACGCCGAGGTGATCCTCTCATCTCTGGAGCAACTACTTCCGGAGGCTTCCTGGGAGCCGAGTCATTCGCTTGGGAAAAACCACAGAACTTGCAACGACTCGTTGCATTTTTGCATCCAGAACTGGTCCAGAACTGTTTCTTTATGTTTCGATTCTGATCAGATTTGATATCGCTTGGTGAAAATTCATGGTGCCACCGCTCTCCACGACCGACTGGATCTATCCAACAGCACCCGGAGGACATTGTGCAGATGCTGAGGATAGTGGATCCTGAGACTCTCATGAGGCAACTTGGGCAGTCCTAATTGCCAGTTCATGGGAACTCTGATCATTCACCAGTGGAACTGCCATGAACTGATTGTCGGTCCTAATTGTCAGTCAACTTGGGCAGTCCTAATTGTCATCTGATGACTGGTGGATCATTCACCGATTCGTGAGGCGATTTTCGAGATTTTCGTAGTTTTCGTAGTTTTCGTGGCAGAGCAGAATGCCTCCTTTAGGCGTGCTTTGGCACAGCCAGCTGCAACGAGACCCATGGTCTTTAAGACCTTCGGGAGCTGTTTGGTGAAGTGCTGGCCATGCGTGGCAGTTACTGGTCCAAAATTTGGTACCCATGGCATGTCCAGACTCCAGGATCCACGGCATGGTTATCCATGGGTTATCCATGACTTATCCATGGGTTATCCATGGTAAGGGTGGCTACCCGGGTGGAGGAACCCGCATGGTGAACTTTGTCTTTAAGCCTTGCCAAAGCTGGCTATGACTCAGGCTGGCTATGACGAAGAGCTGCCAAATACATGTGAGCGCCTCAAGGGGTGACAATGCATGATGATGTAGATACCGAAACTTCATAGTGTTCCTTCGATGATACCTGCTGTACGTGGCAGGTTTAAATGAGGAGCCTTGCCAACTTTCCACATTCATTTTGCGTTCTAGCCATTCTAGCCCTTGAATGCCCTTGATAGAATGCAGATATTCAGTGATATTCAAGACATAACTCTGAAGTTGTCCAAATTTTCCCTTCACAGATCTTCATGACCAACTGCCCATGGGTGATGAGGCGTTGAAGCGCTGCGCATGGCCTTCGCCGTGTTAGCCTCGGAGTCAGAGGATCTGGTCTTGGCATCTGCTGCGGTGTTGGATCAGTTGATGAGTTCCTACCTGGGATGCGTGGGGTCCATGGCACCCATGGCACTGGTGGCTTTCTTCCACCCGGCTGCTTGGTGTAGGCCCTGTAGGCCGTTCCGCGGTGGTCGAATGGGGATAAGCCGCAAAGAAGTGGACTACGGAGCATGAAGTGAGCAAGGACAGGAATATGCTTGCAGTATTTCCCAGCTGAATCATCCATTGCTTCCAAGATTCCCTGGAAAGCAGTGTCAGGGGAACACAGGTGATGCCTGTCCGTCAACATTCAAAAATACAGTATGTCATGATGTCAAATTTTACAACATCTTCAACAACCGGAAGCCTATGCTCGATGGCTTTTTTCCGAGGCGTGGGAGTTCCGGCCGATCTACGCCACGCTTCTGATGGAGGTCCTGAGAGATCTGCGGCTGGCGCTGCCAAGGCTGATCATGTTGAGAGATCCCGACGCTTTGGATACGCAGTGGCCATGGCTTTCTTTTTTGGGGGTAGCCTCTGGTAATTTTCCCCATAGATGGCTTGGATACCAGAATTTTTCCCATAGAAAATTAGCATCTTGATCATCTTCATAGGGAAAACAGTTAGATACCCTCTGGTAAACAAACATAGCTATTGAAAATGGCCATAGAAATAGTGAGTTTTCCCATTAAAAATGGTGATTTTCCATAGTTATGTAAACGTTTACCCCATTTATAGTTGATTTATCCATCAAACATGGTGATTCTCCATAGTTATGTAAACGTTTACCAGAGGGTAAGAGCTTGATCCAGCAACGGAAGATGTGACACGTGGCTGATTTTGGATCCTCCAGGGATCCTTCACATTGGGCCTCCAGCCACCAAAACCCAACGATGTCACCGATGTTGAAACGTGGGGATTTCAAGCTGTTGAAACATCCATATTACGTGGACTAATAACAACCAGTCATATTTGGTCACTTCAACTATCATTTTGACTGGTTGCATTTTAAACTTTTAAACCATGTGAAGTGCAATGGTTTTCCCCAGCTCCCATAGATTTTGGCACAGATTTCGATCTTTTAGGTCAGCTTCGCCCTGCTATGAGGATTGCATCTGGCTGCCGAGCAGAGAACAGGGCATGGAGTTGAACAAAGCAGCAGGGCTGCCGCCAAGACAAGGTGCTGACAACCTTGCAGTGCCCTGGGCGGATCTGTTGGAGCTAGAGGTTTTGGGATGTGGAACTTGTGATTCAGCAAATCATTGAGGAAAGTGGATGGAAATGGGCCAAGATGGCATTGAACGAGATTTTATCTTCAGGAAAAAATGCAAATGGATTTCTTGAATTTCAGATTTCAAACATCCCCTTTGCATCAGATTCTTGTGATTTTCATACACTCAGATTTTTGAACAATTATACCCTCATGATTTTCCATAGGTTTCCAATATCCCGGTAGATATACGCCAAAAGAATTCCAAAAGAGTCATCCACAGAAAGATAAAGAAGGAAATCCTCATTTCATTACATGTGTTTTCTATTATATATATATTGTTTATATATGTATATATATACATACACTATATATATATACATACACTATATATATACATACACTATATATATACATACACTATATATATACATACACTATATATATATACATATATTATATACACTATATATATACATACACTATATATATACATACATACATATATTATATACACTATATATATATACATACACTATATATATACATATTATATACACTATATATATAATATATAATATATATGTATATATATATATGATTATAATATCCATCAAGGTCCAGGATCCGAGGCCAGTGACGCGGCCACCTTGGCCACCGAAGCTGGCGCCTTCCGCGCCTCCCTGTTGTGGTTCTTCGCCTTTGGCGGGGGTCTGGCGCGCAATGCGGATGGAGGTGGGGGATGAAAGAGCCAAAATGGGTGCTTTTTCATGAAGAAAAGTAGGATTCAAACTTCAAACCATCAATAGCTGGGAATTAACCAACACAAATGGGCAACATGGCAATTTATTATAGGATTTCATGGGAGATATGTGGTCGACACATTTACTTTTACCATCAACAGCATTCAACGTTTGAAAACTGGAAATTGAGCTTTTCAAAGCATGATGGTTCTCAGGTATTTAGTTTTTTGAGGATACCGATGCTTTACACATATCCACTAGAGTTTTTCCAAACATGAGGGGAGCTGGAAGGCTTTAAACCACTCAATAATTTGACATCAAAGAACATGGGAGATTTATATCAGCCAAGCGGTAAATCAAACATGACTGGCTGGGAAGCCCAACGGGCCATGGAGCTGATTCCCAAAGGGTACCACAACCGCTGCGACTCAACTGACTGTTGAAACATCTGCATTTTGTGCACATTTTTTTAAAGATGATGTATAGCAACCTCCAACAAGATAGACAAGTAAAATCCCATCAAAATAGAGATCTGTCACTTTTCTATTTTTTTTTTGGGGGTCTATACCGATACCAATTTGGATGGGCCTGCTGTTGAAGGCCACGAGTCGATGCTGTTGGTGGACTTGGGGAAAAGGTCAGCTGCTCCCAAGCTTGTGGAACTCCCAGCACCACCTGTGACCTGGCTTCTTTTCGGAGGTCAATTCCACGATGAAAAACGGGAGACTGATGGTTTTGGGGTCCCGGATTTGATGAAACTGGCATATGAACTTAAATTAATTATACGCCATTATATCCCATGATGTCCCATGATGTCAATTTTATATTTATGGAATCCACTGGTGATATGAACTTAAATGAATTAAACCCATTATATCCCATTCAGAAATTATACCCATTATTATATCCCATTAAATATGAACCCATTCTATCCATTATTATATCCCATTATATATTTATCTCAATTTTATTTGATCCAAGCATGTCCCAGGAAGAGCTGAGCTCCAAGCTGCGCCAATGCTCCAGCGCTGCAGGGGCCGCAGGGGCCGCAGGGGGCTGGGGTGCAGCCTTCGCCAGCGCCAGGGCGCAGCTGGTGCAGATGCTGTGCCTGTTGTGCTACAGCCGCTGTGATGGAAAGATTGCTATGAAAAACCCACATGGAAACAGGGTTTAATTCATCTAACCGAATCTAACCATCAAAATCTGGATTCAATCATCAGCCGCAGGGACTTAACGAACAACATATTTCGATTTTGGCGAAGGAACATATTGATATTTAACATGCTGCAACATGTGTCTTTACCTGAAAGTTTAGAACATCATGAGAGCATTCCCTTTCTTTACCGTCAAAACTGACATTTTGGGGGAGACCCAATTTCTGAACAGAACAGCTAGGCTTAGTCGCTGCTTGGCGGAGGTTTGATTGCCAGAGTGGTTAAGTGCTTGGTTAAAAAATGCCTTCAACTCTTCTGAATTCGGTGAACCTGGTTTCTCAGATTTCTTCAGGTTCCGACACAATGCAATGCCGCAATGCTGTCCTGACCACCTGTGAAAGCCTCTTGCAGCTGGGTGAAGCTTGGAGAAAGTCAGATTTTGGTGAGGGCCACTGTAGGCTTCAAAACAACACCCCGTCCAGCAACCCCCATAAGACCTGTAGGTTGCCAACATACAGCCCCAAAGGCGGTCCAGCAACCACCATAAGACCTGTAGGTTGCCAACATACAGCCCCAAAGGCGGTCCAGCAACCACCATAAGACCTGTAATCTGTAGGTTGCCAACATACAGCCCCAAAGGCGGTCCAGCAACCACCATAAGACCTGTAGGTTGCCAACATACAGCCCCAAAGGCGGTCCAGCAACCAGCATAAGACCTGTAGGTTGCCAACATACAGCCCCAAAGGCGGTCCAGCAACCAGCATAAGACCTGTAGGTTGCCAACATACAGCCCCAAAGGCGGTCCAGCAACCACCATAAGACCTGTAGGTTGCCAACATACAGCCCCAAAGGCGGTCCAGCAACCACCATAAGACCTGTAGGTTGCCAACATACAGCCCCAAAGGCGGTCCAGCAACCACCATAAGAGCTGTAGGTTGCCAACATACAGCCCCAAAGGCGGTCCAGCAACCACCATACGACCTGTAGGTTGCCAACATACAGCCCCAAAGGCGGTCCAGCAACCACCATAAGACCTGTAAGTTACCAACATACAGCCCCAAAGGCGGTCCAGCAACCACCATAAGACCTGTAGGTTGCCAACATACAGCCCCAAAGGCGGTCCAGCAACCACCATAAGACCTGTAGGTTGCAAACATACAGCCCCAAAGGCGGTCCAGCAACCACCATAAGACCTGTAGGTTGCCAACATACAGCCCCAAAGGCGGTCCAGCAACCACCACAAGACCTGTAGGTTGTCAACATACAGCCCCAAAGGCGGTCCAGCAACCACCACAAGAACTGTAGGTTGCCAACATACAGCCCCAAAGGCGGTCCAGCAACCACCATAAGACCTGTAGGTTGCCAACATACAGCCCCAAAGGCGGTCCAGCAACAACCATAAGACCTGTCGGTTGCCAACATACAGTGCCCCAAAGGCGGCCCAGCAGCCACCATAAGACCTGTAGGTTGCCAACATACAGCCCCAAAGGCGGTCCAGCAACCACCATAAGACCTGTAGGTTGCCAACATACAGCCCCAAAGGCGGTCCAGCAACCACATAAGACCTGTAGGTTGCCAACATACAGCCCCACGGTCCAGCAGCCACCATAAGACCTGTAGGTTGCCAACATACAGCCCCAAAGGCGGTCCAGCAACCACCATAAGACCTGTAGGTTGCCAACATACAGCCCCAAAGGCGGTCCAGCAACCAGCATAAGACTTGTAGGTTGCCAACATACAGCCCCAAAGGCGGTCCAGCAACCAGCATAAGACCTGTAGGTTACCAACATACAGCCCCAAAGGCGGTCCAGCAACCACCATAAGACCTGTAGGTTGCCAACATACAGCCCCAAAGGCGGTCCAGCAACCACCATAAGACCTGTAGGTTACCAACATACAGCCCCAAAGGTGGTCCAGCAACCACTATAAGACTTGTAGGTTGCCAACATACAGCCCCAAAGGCGGTCCAGCAACCACCATAAGACTTGTAGGTTGCCAACATACAGCCCCAAAGGCGGTCCAGAAACCCAGCAACCAGCATAAGACCTGTAGGTTGCCAACATACAGCCCCAAATGCGGTCCAGCGGCCACCATAAGACCTGTAGGTTGCAAACATGCAGCCCCAAAAGCGGTCCAGCAACCGCCATAAGACCTGTAGGTTGCCAACATACAGCCCCAAAGGCGGCCCAGAAACCCAGCAACCACCATAAGACTTGTAGGTTGCCAATACAGCCCCAAAGGCGGTCCAGCCACCAGCATAAGACCTGTAGGTTGCCAACATACAGCCCCAAAGGCGGTCCAGCAACCACCATAAGACCTGTAGGTTGCCAACATACATACAGCCCCAAAGGCGGTCCAGCCACCAGCATAAGACCTGTAGGTTGCCAACATACAGCCCCAAAGGCGGTCCAGCAACCACCATAAGACCTGTAGGTTGCCAACATACAGCCCCAAAGGCGGTCCAGAAACCCAGCAACCACCATAAGACTTGTAGGTTGCCAACATACAGCCCCCAAAGGCGGTCCAGTAGCCACCATAAGACTTGTAGGTTGCCAACATACAGCTCCAAACTCACCAAAAGCTATCCGAGCGGCCCACCACGAGAGCCAACCTACAGCCCCACAAACCCCAAACAAGCTTAAGACCCTTGGATTTTCTTTTTGGTTTTCGCTGCGGAGAAACCATTCTTCGCCAGGGCTCGATCTAACAGTTTTGGTCAAGGAGGACCCCTCAAAAGAGCACGTGGGGCTACCCTCTGGGAATCAAAATGCATTTTCAATGGGAAAACTATCGAATTAGATGGAGATTTTTCAATTGCCATGTTTGATTGCCAGAGGGTATTCCAAAGCATCCAAGGAAGCATTGCGACAAAGCCTTCTCCGGTACTTCTTGGCCGAATGTCTTAGTAGTGCCATCGCGCTCTGGCATGTCATGGGAAGAGATCTACGACCAGGTGGGAGCGGCAGAAACAAGCGAAGTTTCATGTTGCGTTAAAACGCACCCATTTCAGGCTTTACTTTGTGCAGTCACTGGGATTTCGTTAAAAGTGGACCTCCAATTCCAAGGGGCTCACTTACCCCACCCTCCAGTGGCAATTAGGTTGCTATCCCCGTGTATCCGCCCGATTTGGGACAAGGCGCCAAGGTGTACTTGTTCCACAACGCAGGTGCAGCAATGAACCATCGAGCCTGTGACATTTGTGGCCACGCCTTGTTGATGGGATCCACCTTGGTTCCACAAAGCTCTGCCAGTGCGCCGCGCTTGTTGCAGCTCATGGTGATGGCTGCCAAAGTCTTCGTGTCACGTGCAAGTTCAGCAGCGGATCTGGACCTGCTGCCGGCTGCTGCTAGAAGTTTGGCATTGGTCATGCTTGTTCAGTTTTCAACTCGGGAGGGATTACCTTCCGGATGGAATATCTATCTATCTGTCTGTCTGTCTGTCTATCTATCTATCTATATATATATATATATCCCTTTAGTAGATGATCTTCCCAGTGAAACCCCCATTTGTAGGAGATTTCCAATTGCCATGTTTGACTACAGGATGGTAGTTTGTATGCTTCAAGGCGAAACTGTATTGCAAGGCAGGATTAATGTGGATTAACCCCCTGGAGAAACAACCTTTGATTCTGGGATAATCTCCCATCTGTCTCTGACCCACATACAATCGAGCACGTCCACTTGGGAGTATCTGTGAACCCTTTTAGGACTTCACATTTTCGTATTCTTCAATCTCCACGATTTTGGCATTTTAAGTATGTTCATAGATTTTTTGTATCTCCATCTTCCCTCGTTCTTTTGTAAGCTTCACCACAAGGAAAGATGGGACACGAGAAGGTACCACCCGTGGCGGTGGCAGCAATTTGCCGTGCATGTTGGAGTCTGAAAGAGAAGAATCCGCGAAGTTTGGTGGAGGGCCTTGTGCAAAGACACCTTCTGACTTTTCTGCTGGATATGGTCTCAGAAGATTCTGGCAAACCGCAAGCATCAGCTTGGCTGCTGATTGCGGTGGCGAAAATGATGGGGGCTCAACCTGCTTTGGTCGATGTCTTCAACCGGGGCGAGTTGCTTGGGAAGGCACCTGCTATGCTTCTTGCATCCGCTTTGTTGGATGACGGCACTCAGAACTTGACTCAAAGCTCTCGATCCAACATGGCAGAGGCGCCCAAACATTGGGAAAATGGTTAAAATCTTAAATATCAAAGCAATGTAAAAGGAGGTGGGGGTCATATTCAAAATGGTCATGACTTCTTGACACTAGGTCTGGGAAGCGCTGCCAGTTTTGATCACCCGACCCTTTTTCTATCCGCTATTCCCATCCAGATGGAGCAATCCAGGTCACTCACGTCACCAGCATTTCAGGTGCTGCGACAAACCGACCTGGCCTTCAGTGAGTGGAGCAGCTACCGTGACCGCGTGGCACAAGCGCTGCAAGGCCCAAGTGCGTCGGGTCAGGCTTCCACGGCCCTTGTGGCTTCGGGGGCAGACTCTTGGCAGCAGTGGCAGTGGCTGAGCGTAGACGGTAGAGGGCACATGACATAAAGATACATGATGCACACTGGTGTGGAAATTGCAGTTAGCCGAAGGAAGAAGCAATATGGACAGATGGAAAAGCAGAGGTGGGAAGAGTCAGAGAAGAGAAAGGAAGAAGAAAGAATGTCAGAGAAGAGAAAGAGTCAAAAGAAAGAAGATGCAGGTGCGCGAAAAGGTGTCGTGAAACACTCTGTTTTTTTCCAGTGTTTTATTGCCTCGGAGGGTCGAAAAGTAGGCTCGCTAAAGCGGCGGGTGCGGAGCCATCTGGGCAGATAAGAGATCAAAAACTGCACGTCACTGTGGCGCGAAGCCCATCTAAGTCAAAATGCTAAAATCACCACATGTTCGGACCACTTTTGGACGTTGAGAGTTGAGATGTTGAAAAAGGGAACGCCGTTACGCCGTCCTGGCACGAAGCACATTTCGAAGTGAAAGGTGTTAAATACTGATGCTCTTGTACCACCTTTGGGCGTTGAAATGTTGACACTGCACTACATTACACTACACCACACTACACTACAGCTACAGCTACGGTGACACTACAACTACAACTACAACTACGACAACTACAACTACATTGCAACTACAACTGCCACTGCAACGACACTTGCATGCAACTACAACTACACTACACTACGCTACACTACACTAGGCTTCAACTAAACTACACTACGCTACACTACACTACACCACACTACAATGCACTACAGCCACAACTACAACGGCAACTGCAACTGCAACTGCAAGCGCAACTGCAACTGCAACTGCAAATACACTACACTACACTAGGCTTCAAACACACTACACTAGACTACCCTGCGCTACAACTACAACTACAACTGCAACCGCAACTGCATCTACACCACGTCACACTACAGTACGCTGCGCTACACTACAACTACACTACACTAGGCTTCAACTACACTACATTACACTACACTAGACTATATTGCATTGCAAATACAACTACGCCTACACCTACAACTGCACTACAGCTACAGCTACACCTATCACTACAACTGCAACACATCTACACTGCATTGGATTACAACTGCACTACACTACGCTACACTTGACTACATTAGACTACGCTGCACCACAACTACAACTGCAACTACACTACACTACAGCTAGGAGAGACTCAGGGCCTCAACCGCCTTTCGATCCATCAGTGGGTTCATTCTGCCATCCATGCATCACAACAACCCACCTCTCCTATGGCTTCTTATCTTTGAAATTTCCGCCACCCCCTTGTGCGGTACTACTGCTGTTAGTTACATGCCATCAACCGGCAATCCTCATGATTGAGCCAGGGAGGCCGGCAATCACACAGGATGGCAGCGTTGTGTCGGGTGTGGTTGATCCGTTGATTGCCTTGTCCGAGGCGAACTTTGCCCGCTGGCTTCATTTGATGAGAGACTCTGACGGGCGATTTATGGTCGAGTCTCCACAGACTCTTGGCGATCAACAAGACTACAGCAAGATGGATTGTTGTTGATGGTTGCTGATGGTGGTTCAGTGATGTTGATGAGACTTGTTGATGATTGTTGATGGTGTGAATGAGGGTTGTTGATGATGGTTGTTGATGATGGTTGCTCCAAACCACCCCGTTGCTGATATTGTTTTCTTTTCTGCTTTCATTGCTGGGCTGAACAACGCCACGGCCTAGCCCGACCCAGGAGAATCTCTTTATCCGGGCCTCCGGTGTTTGTCTATGCCCAGCCGATCATCAGCTGGGTGCAATCAAGCTGCCATGTCACATTGCGAATAGATCTCTACAATGCCACAGCGTTGAGATGCTTGGATTCATATCATATTCATATTTGTTTGGGGGTCCAGTTGGGCTTATTAATGGACATATATATATATGTATGTATGTATATATATATATATACATACATAATATATATATATACACATAATATATATATACATAATATATATATACATAATATATATATATACATAATATATATATATATTTACATATTTACATATACATATATGTATATACATATACATATACATAAATATATTATGTACATATACATATATATATACACACACGTAAATATATATATATATACATATATACATAATATATATATATATGTATACATACATACATACATACATACATACATACGTACGTACGTACGTACGTACATACATATATATATATTCAAATAATTATGGTAACAACCACCATTGGTCTTTCGCATTTTTCCTGAACATGGAGGCCTTTCGAACGGGACAGCGCGGATAATCCCAATGGAAAAAACTCTCTGGTTGTTCTCTGTTTTTGTCTCTCGTGCCCAGGCATTCGAGATGTGCGAGTGAACTTGTCCATCAGCCGCCAGTCTCGCATGGGAGAACGGCCGGAGAAGACGGGAGGCTGGCACTTTCTTGAAGGTTTGTTGCGGCCTTTGGCGAACACTTCATTGGATGCTTGGCTTGCACCTCAGTGAGACGGTGATTTAAGGCTTGTGGTATGGTGTGGTCATTTCGCAAAGGGTTCGCTTCTGGTTCATCTCAAGCCCTGACCACGAGCAGCATCCAGTGTTTCTACCCTGGTCATGTGTGAAAACCATTGTGTCATCTCTAGTAGGCAATGGCTGAGATACTCCAACTCATCATTGGTCTACCTGTTCTCCCCCTGGAAGTTGGCGTTGCCGAGGAATCCATCACATGCCGAAGCACAGCAAGTGTATGGCGCGACCTCTATTTGCATTTCCCTCCAAAACCCCTCAGTCTGTCGCTGTCCCTGAGTTATGGCAAGATCATGCCCGACACATGGCCGAATTGCGATAGTATTATCGTTGGTGCTCGCGTTAGCATGGTTCAGTATGGATGTTTCAGTATGGAATATGCCATGGCAACCATTGCTGTTGGGTTTGCCAAAAAGGTAAGGCCGGAATTCTTTGCTCGAAACTTCAATTGGGATAAACCCAAACATTCATTGGAGTGAGTTAAGGGAAAATCTTAACCGGAAACCCATGGGTTTTTACCATCAAATTGGTTGGGCTTTCCGGTTAAAAATTTCCCATCATCCAATTCTATGAAACATGGACCAAACATGGACCAGCGGTTTTTGCCTTCAACAACCGAGCCACGACGTCACGGGCGTCGTCACGGGAAGCCAGGAGAGCACTTTGTCGGGCCTGACGCCAGCCAGCACTCCCATGACTGGTGCTGGAGCGGAAGATCTTTGGAGCGATGAGGCAGGTCCCAAGTTCTTGGATATACATCGCGGTTTTTGGAGGTTCAAACCGCTGATTTTTTTGCAGATTGAAAAAGCAAGTGCATCTAGAAATTCTTCTCATTGTGAGGAGGTGACAGGAAAGAGGACTTGAGACTGGCTGTTTCTTCGCAGTTGACAAGTCTTGCAACTTTCAAGTGTCTCTTTTTCAGGAAGATGAAGACAACAGCCGGTTGCGCTTCAGATGCCTTCCCATCTCCGGATCCTTGTCCTGGTATTTCGTGCCCTTCCTCGGCTTCGACTGCGAGAACAAGGTCTTCCCACCGCCATTGATCTTTGCCGCATGTCCTCACAGCAAGATGCACAATGCCAAGGACGGAGTTGGGTTGTGACCTTCAAGCCTAAAGCAACTTTTTTTTTTTGCACCATAGATATGCAGTCACATTAGCACCGATGGTGGTTTGAACTACATGTTATGTTTTCACTATATTTTTTGATCCCCGTAGGCCAATATTTTTATGTCTTGAAGCTTGAAGTTCAATCAGTTGCGACAGCAATGCGACGCAGGAGCTGGGCATCCCGCAGAACTGGGCTATCAAGGGCTTTCGGCAGATACCTCCGTCTGAGATTGGTGGTCGGGCTCGGCAAGACTGCCGCTGTTTTGCAGGTGCACAGATAGGACTTGATAGGACTTGATAGGACAGATAGGACACGCGCACACAATGGATACACCAATGAAAGGACGATACATAGGACTCAATGACACTGTGTTATATAAGATATACAACATACAATAAGGGATAATATATGTATATATGTATATGATGTATGTAGTATTATTCAGTATTACATCAATGTAGCACTAGATTATTATATAAACATGTAAACGCAACTACAGATCCAAAATCTAAACTCAAATCCAAATAAAAGTAAACATACATATTATATATGTATATACACATATTATGTACTGATTATGTGCATGTAATGCCATGTTGTGTAATGTTATGTAATGTTTGGTCATGCCATATAATGTTATGTACTGTTTTGTAATGTTATGTCATGTTGTGAAATGTTATGTAACTGTATATAATTTTATGTAGTGCTGTGCAATGTTATGTACTGTTTGGCAATGTCATGCAATGTTGTGTAGCGTTGTGCAATGTTTTGCAATGTTGTGACGTGCGGTGTTGTGCAAAGTTTTGCAATGTTACTTGCAACGTTTGGCAATGTTTTGCAATGTTATGCAATGTTATGAAATGTTTTGCACTGTCTTGCAATGTTATGCAATGCTGTGCAATGTTATGCAGTGTTGTGCAACGTTATGCAATATTATGCAATGTTATGCAATGTTACGCAATGTTTTGCAATGATATGTACTGTTTTGCAATGCTATGAAATGTTTTTTGTCTTTCAAATATAATGTTATGTCATTTTGTAAAAAGCTGTGTCATGTTCTATCATGTTATGTCATGTTTTGTAATGCTATCTAATGTCATGCAAGTATACAATGTAATGTAATGTAATGCAATGTAATGTAATGTTGTGTAATAATATGTAAGTTGATGCAATGTTATGTAGTAATATGTAATGCTACGTAATGTCATCTACTATTTCATCCAATATTTTGTAATGTTATGTAATGTTACATAATGTAATGTAATGTAATGTAATGTAATGTAATGTTTTCCAATGTTATGCAATGTTATGTGATGTGATGTCAGGTTATGTCATGTTGCATATACTGTCAAATGCAACAACTTGGTTCAGAATATGCCAGTTGATCAACAGTTCAACTGAGTTTTACATATTGGGTGTTTGAATGCTCCTTCCAAAAACAGAGACCCCCAGCCTGAATCGCAGGCATCGGCTGTGATGCTGAGAGCCTTCTGTGCTTCATTTTGCGACCGGAATCAACGCTGGAAGTGCGCTCCAATAACGTCTCCGGGCAGCGCACAGAACAGGGGTCCAGCAGGGGTTGATATACAAAGAATATATATATATATATTTATAGATATGTATACAGTATATATATATGTTTCGGTGCTTTGATTTTTTTAATCATAAGAATGTCACATGAAATGGGTATTTTGAACATATTCCAAAATTCTTGGTGATTATTTTTCGAATATTCCAATTGTTGGGTGATGTGTCAGTGTTTTCTTTCCCACCCTTGTCCAGAACCACTGGCAAAAAAACAAGTTCAAATTTGCTTTCAACTTTTGAACACGCATTCATCTTCGAAAAACGCTTCCCTCCCAGAAATTCTCACTTTCTAAGCGTAGGAACATTCCAAAAATGTCAAATGTCATGGCCACCAGCTTCAACGAATGGTTGTCCCATATATAGAACAATGGAAGTTGCTGAGCCTTCGAACCTTCCTCCTTTAATCGCGTTGCAGGAGTGGCTCCTTCAAGCGGTCACAGCAGATTTGATGTTCTGGCTGTTGGCTGATGAACAAACGCTTGACAATTCAAGTGATCAAAAAGAACTGGGCGCCGGTGTTGAGACTGTTGAGATATCCAATTTGGATTAGGAAGTTTGCACACGTTCCATGAATTCAGCGTGCCATCGTGTGACCTTCCTTTCGATCAGATGGGTTTTGATTAGATCGAGTGAAACACTGGGTGAATACTGGGACCTTTTGTTCTCCGCCAAATGCAACGAATGCATCGGCAGCAGCAACAACAGAACAGTAACAGAACAGGAATGACAACAATGACAACAATGACAACAATGACAACAATGACAACAATGACAACAATGACAACGACAACAACGACAACAGCAACCACGACAAAGGCAACCACAACAACAACGACAACGACAACGACAACAACAACAACGACAACGACAACGACAACAACAACAACAACAACAACGACAACGACAACGACAACGACAACGACAACGACAACGACAACGACAACGACAACGACAACGACAACGACAACGACAACGACGACAACAACATCATCATCATCAACAACAACAACATTAACAACAACAACAACAACAACAACAACAACAACAACAACAGTAACAACAAACACCAGCATCAACAACAAAAAACAGCAAGAAGGACAACAACAGCACAGCAGGGAGAGCGCAACACCCCCAACATCATTAATTGTAGCCGAGTATCCTCGTGGCCATCAGTAAGGGTTGTGGACTTGTTTGGATCAAATACTCCAGAGCAACCCCACATATGAAAGGACCACATGGCAGCAGCTAGGCGTGAAAGCAGTGACGTTGTTGAACGCCCTAGTCATGTGTAAATCATTGTTGACTCAAAGTTTTTTCGCGCTTGTTGAAAATGACTGCCCCAGCTGAGAAACATGAATGATTCCAGTTGTCAAAACAAAATTGGAAAGCACCCAGAGGGGACTGTCACCTGTCAGTGTCGGTGCTGGCGCGGCTGCAACAAGAATGAATGGCAGAACCGCCAACTTCCATTAGCTTGTCAATTGGGATTGAATGCAACTTATCACCAGCTGGCGCTTGAATTCTCAAGACACCACTATAGCGCACTGTGAACCTGAGGAACCTGCTCTACTTCCATCATCCAGCGCCAGACACCTTGCAGTCATCAATCAAATCGCATAGTCTTGAAGGCACTGCAGGAAAATTAAAGAATGAATCTTTCGAGCAAACCCTATGTTTCTTGTATCACATTCACCTTGAAAACAACCCGAGTATATTCACATACATACATACATACATACATACATACATACATACATACATACATACATACATACATACATACATACATACATACATACACACATACATACATACATACATACATACATACATATATATATAGATATCACACCTTTGCAATGAGTTGGTGCCAGTTGAAAACTTACATCATTTTCTCCACTAGAAGGTACTGGATCCCTTTTTTGTTGTAGCAGTCTTGCACCTAATATGTACCCTCTGGTTATGACTAACATAGCCATGGTATAAATGGCCCATAGAAATAGATGGTTTACCTATTAAACATGGTGGATCTTTCCATGGCAAACTGGCAATGTCATAACCTGAGGGTATATATAATGTATATCTTCATTCATTAGATCCCCATTTATCCAGATGAATGATCTTGTTAATGTGGTATGTTCCAATAGTCTTCAGAGATTTTTAATAGATAAACCCAGGTAAACCATCTATTTCTATGGGCCATCTATACCATGGCTATGGTAGTACCACCGGAGCGTTGGAAAAACCATCGCTTCGAACTTCAGCCATTTGGCTCAGCAAAAAACGCGTCTCTCAGTGCCTTGATCGCTGTGGCCCCCTGGCCCATCCTGGCTGCGGTAAGATGTTGAAACGCCCATGTGTTGGGAGAAAGTAACATAAAGTAACAATAGTTTCCAGCAAAATTCAGTGACTCGTAGTTATTTGAGATGGTTTCCCAACAAAATAGATGTTTTCCCCATTGGTTTCCATTAATGACAGCTGTTTTTTTGCAGAAATCTGGTCGAACTTCGAGGCGACCAGATGGATCACAATGAGGAGCCTCTGGGCCAGGTTTGGATACGGTGGAGGGAGCTACCCTCTGGTAAACTAACATAGCTATTGAAAATGGCCATTTATAGTGAGTTGTCCCAGTAAAAATGGTGATTTTCCGTAGTTGTGTTAGTTTAACAGAAGGTATGGGTATCCACAATTTCTAACGGAAAGCCAGTTCGAGCCACGAATTGAGTTTCCAAACTGTATGAAACTCAGAAAGGGTGTGCTGAAACTGGCATCCTCTGCTCTGCTGCAGGTGGAGGATGCGAGAGTGACTCGTTTGGGCACCAAGATGGCTATCCCATGCCACACGGGATCAAAGTCAACATTTCTCTAAGTGTCTGGTTTTCTTCATCAAATATGGGAGTTTCAACCGTGAAATTTCAGCGGAAAAGCAATTCTGGGATGATCCAACTTGCTTCATGGAGGATGCTAGTCCCCGCCCTCCTTAGGTCAGGGTCGATATAGCGCTTGGCTGAAGAAGGCTGCTCGAACGCACTGGGCCTTTGGATCCATGTTTTGAGCTTCACACAAGGGTCAGAAGTGTGTGTACCCAGTCACCCTTTCCTCAGATGAAGTCTCGAAAATGGCTGGTTCAAGCACTGGAAATGGCTAGGTGAGTGTGGTTTCACAGGTGCTTCGTCACTTCGTTCTGAATTAGTCAGGCGAAGAGTGAGAATGCACGGTGTAAGCTGATTCAAAGTCACAACACGCGGTGCCCGGTGCGGTGATGCGGGAGGGGATGGTAAAAACATCATCTGACATCATCTTACTGTTGATGTACTGTACAAGGATGAGCCAAACAGTCCAAGGAGATTCAACGAAGAGTAACGAAGGATAGATTGAAATGCCTTGAGGATCCTTGAGGCAAACTTGGCTTTGTTGATGTGGTTGTCTTTTTGTTTAGTTGCCAGCCAATCAGTTGGCTTGGCTTTTGTCTACACTGTATACACGAGCAAGCGCAGGTATTTCACCATCGACTTTGATTCGCAGATCATATTCTACTCTCACTCAACATCGCAGAAGAAGGCGCCTGGCAAGACGACGAATCACAACGATAGAAGTAATGCAATAGGATCCCCAAAACCCAAAGAATGCATTGCGCCAGAAGGATCTAATCTGACTAATCTATTGGAGCGATCTTTTTCTGAGAAAAAGAGAGGATTTCTCACATTTGTCACTGGCTAAGTTGGATGAGAAGGTCTGGTTGTCTGGATTTGTCTGGATTTCCACCGCACAGGTCTCACAACCCATTCCTTTTAGGGACATCCTGGGTGCCGAGCGGCTGTGACCTCAAGCAAGTATGCTGTTGGATGCTGTTGGATGCTTGGAATCGAGAGATTTAAACTCAGCAAGTTCCAACCATCAATATCAATACCAACAACAATGGACCTCCCACCATTTGTACATCATTTTCAGAAGAAAGCCATAGATTTCCAGACCATTCCAGACGTATGTCAATTTACCGGAGGGTGACTCTCCCCATAGAAGCAAGTGGTCTGGCCTCATGTGGATCCCTTGTAACACTTGTAACGCCTGCCGTTGATTTAGGCTACCATTACCGACAAAATGTCGAAAGAGCAAAACTGCAATGTGTGGCGGCCAAGTTGACCTAGAGTTGACCTAGAATGACAATATATGACAATTGAGTAGGGTTTTCAGGGGTTTACAGAGTTTGTTCAACAACTGTAGATGTTTGATCATCCAACTGGGAATCCAGCTGGGAATGAGGCACTTTTGCCTGGCTTCATTTTGGCAAAGGGAAACCTCTCATTTCGATTGGCTGTGCTCACCTATATGTTGTTTTATATGTTGTTTTTTTACATGTTGTTTTTCCTATCGATTGATCCAAAAAAAAACATCGGAAAAATCGTCTCTTTGGCACCCATTGGGATGATCATGGGCCCTACTTTCCCCATTCAAACAGCTGGCCGAGGATTTTCGGCTTCATTCTGAAGACCAAACCAAGGACCTTTGAGATCCGAACTCAGCTGGGTCTTCGCTTAGAGACATTTTGGAGTCAATTTTTTGTCAACAAAAATACTTTCGAAATACATATTTATTATTCTCATTTATTATCATTTATTCTCATTTATTATCATTTATTATTTGCTAGTGTACTTTGTGACAACATTCCTCTTGGCTCCTTTGTGGTTCTTTTTGGAATTCTAGACTGCCAGAGTGGTTTCAGTTTTGCGCCACTTGATGCAGCATAGTTGCAAACCTGGTTGCAGTGTCCTGTCAGGTTGTTTACGAATAGCAGTACTGATGCTGCGCAGCCCTTTGCTCAGATAATCTCTTCTGCAGTGGCTGTCCAAGGCTTCTTGCCATGCAGATTGAGGGTCTTCAGTTTGGTAGCCTCAAAAGAGTTCATTCCTATGAGAACTGAAATTACATGCAGAAAAACCCTAAACTTATCTGATTTATGACATATTCTGTACATCTCTGTGCCACTTCAGCTGAAACTGCTCCTTTCCAGAGATTTTGGAGGATGCCTTTTGCTTCGAAATATCTTTGAGGTGGACATTTTCGCTGAATGCAGCCTGGCCCTCACAGCGGGACTTTCCAGAAACAGAGAGGTAAAACGCTGCTGCCGACTCCGGAACCCCAAGCCCACCATGGCTTGAAAAATCAAGTTCCCCATTGCAATTTGGCCAGAAACTGTGGTAAATCCTTGGAAATTAAGACAACGCCAGATGGAAATCAGGCGATGGAGATGGGCAAGCTGAAATGCCTGGAGCAACTGAAGGCCCAGATGGGTTTTGGAAGGTCCAGTGACTCCAGTGATATGAACAAATAATAAAAAATACATCCACTTGGATTTTGAAGGCATCCACATTTTTTCCACATTATTTCCACTAGTTTCCAAGTTGATATATGGAATATGCCTCCAATGATCGAATGCCCAAGTTTCCACTACATGAAGGCATGCATTGTAAGACCACGAGTTCAATCGGAAAGAGATGTGAAGAGCTGCACAGAAGGGCAATTTTCTTACTATCTATTAGAAGTGGAAGAAGCAAGGTTTCGGGCGATGCCCTAGTTAAAAAAACATTTTCTCCATGCAATGTCAATCCCGGATTGATAAACCCTGGTTGATTAGGGGCGTTACCCGAAACGATGGATTAAGGGGGGGTTACCCGAAACACTTGATACATTGAAAACCAAAAGAGTATTCTCCAATTGATCATCTCACGGGTTTATTTGAGCTATCAGAATACCTTGGTCGATTGGTGTGGGAATTATCCTGCCTGGGTTAAAGGGGACTATTATAAATTATAACCCATGCCAAGGAAACCTATCAGCCAAGTGGTATAGTGAGATGAGATAGTGTTATCTATAAAGGCTCATTGGATCCGGGCTTAGTGCTAGGGGGGACCAGGGACTTTCTTCTGCCACATCTCAATTGCAGGTGCTTCAGGGGCAACAGGCAGGGTGTAGGAATGGGTAGGTTCTTTTTCTTGGGGGATTTGGAAAATCTTGGACTATCAGTCTGGACCATCTTTGTTGTGGTCTAGATCCATTCTACTGACCTTTTCCAGTGCCTATAGGTCGGCTACCCATACCCTCTGATCAACCTAGAGGTGCTCAAAAATTGCAGATGGATCACATGGAGCTTCTTTCCGAATGTTGTGACGCTTCCGCTTTTTTAACATATTTTGCGTCAATGGGTCAGTAGCTTCCGCTGGTTCCGCGCAGGCTGAGGTGCGGAATCAGGTGCCGCAGAAGGGTTGGTATTGGTCTCCGAGCCATCTGATATGATCGATATCGATGGTATAGGGTTGGCATAATGTTGGTACCATGATAGATGGTATAATGTTGGCATAATGTTGGCATAATTGATATATCTATGGCTTCCAGGGTTGGATGTTCAAATTTGACTTGCAGAGATCTTTTCTGTTTATATAAACTGTTACAGTAAATTGCAACCTAGGAAGATGTGTCCAGTGCTGTCTCCTCACTGAAGAAGCGTTGCCACAGCCCGAATAAAGGGTAGAATGATTGACCCTGGAATTTCCACATCCACCCAATTAGCAACCCAAATGGTCCAAAATACTGACGCCACACATGAAAATTCCAGAGGATTTCTTGTGACTTAGTGGAACTCAAGCACTCACCTAACTGCTATAATTGTGAACAAGGTACACCCAATAGTCACTATCCCAACTTGTGGCTTTATGAACTTGGAGATATTTGGAGATATCATCCACTTATTTTTTGGGATGTTTCTAAAAACGAATGATATCCCCTATATATTTATATCCCCTGTATGTTGGTATCCAAGAATTGAAGGGGAAACCTTTCCTTCAGATTTCCCGCAGAACTGGCAGTTCTCCCCATGACCTGCAGGATGAGGGAGCGTCTTTAGTACGCACTGCGCCTCAGACTGCTGCCGTCTCAGAGGCGGAGCACGTGTGGTTGGCCGAATCAAAAGTTGCTGATGTTTGAGATGGGTATGGATCAATACCTATTAATACCATTTTTAGTGGGATGAACATCCATTTACCAGCTATTTTGGGGTTCACTGGGTACCAGGGTTTTGACACACTGCCAGATGTTGAAGGATATATTTGTGAGATTTTGTGAATTTTTGCGTGATACTTGTGAACGGCTTGATTTTTTTTTTTGACACGGCTTGAGATTTGGTTGCTGATTTGCTGGTCTGGCTCCAGGATGAGAAAGAGGCTTCACGACTGAAACAGGCCATGCGCTGCACTTCTACAGGTCTTATGGGGCCTTGTGGGGCCTATTGATTGAACCCACTGTGGGGCTGTCGGCAACCTACAGGCTTGTTGCGCCAAGCTACAGCCCCCACACTCGGTCCAATGGGCTGAATAAGACCTGTAGGTTGCTCCCATAAGACCTGCAGGTTGCCAACCTACAACCCCAGACTCCCTGCAGCAAGCCTGTAGTGGTTCCGATATGTTCCGATAGGCCCATACGACCTGTAGCTTGCCAACACACAGCCCAAACAGGGGTGCCCAACAAGAACTGTAGGTTGGCTGATAAGACCTGTAGGTTGCCAACCTACTGCCTTAAACTCACTCCAACAAGCCCTGTAGGTTGCTAACATACAGCCCCAAACTCGGTCCCAAAACAACCTACACCCCCAAACTCGGTCAACAAGCCCCATAAGACCTGTAGGTTGCCAGCCTACAACCCCAAACTCCCTGCAGCAAGCCTGTAGGTGTATGATCCAAACGGGTTCCAATTGCCCCAAACTCGCTCCAACAAGCCTGTAGGTTGCCGACATGCGGCCCCCATAAGAGCTCTAGGACCGTAGGTTGCCAACCTACAGCCCCAAACGTTCCAACAGCTCCAAACTAAGTCAAATAGGCCCCATAAGACCTATAGGTTGCCAACATACAGCCCCAAACGCGCTCCAAAAAGCCTGTAGGTTGCCGCCCCCATTTGGGGCCGTAGGCGCCATAAGACTGCTAGGACACGTAGGTTGCCAGCCCGAAACTGTTCCAACAAGCCCGTTGGTTGCTGAGACACAGCCCCAAACTGGGTCCCATAGGCACCATAAGAATGCGTGTTGCCACATAAGACCTGCAGGTTGCCAACATACAGCCCCAACTTCCTGTAGGCATCTTTATGCAGCCCAAGTAGTTCCTACCACTTTCCACCGAACTTGACCTTCCATCACAGATCCAGGAGCGTCCGGCTACTGAAGTGGAGCAGGAGATGGCACAAGAAGCAGCGGCTGCAAGAAGAAAGCAGGCCACATTATCGGGAAGTCAGAAGTTAGGAGGTGTGAATGGATGCTCCTTAGAATGTATCTTGAAAAGACCATGTGGTTTCCTGCCATTTCCTCAAATTTGTTGTGCATATGCAGCCCTTTCTCTTAGACGGAAATCATCACAGCCCCGTGTGGCCATCTTGTGTGAGGAAGAGGAAGCAGCCAGACAGAAGCAGGCCTGTTGGCCTGTCTCTCCAGGGCATTGGCCGATCTCCTTAGAGGGTCTGCTAGCTTTTGTTTACTTATGACTCTATGACTAATGTCTCAAGAGAAAACGTATCTTTTTGCCTGTCACAAGGAAGAGGAAGCAGCTGCCAAAAAGAAGCAGGAGGCACGAACTGCACGCTTTTGCACAAAGCTCACGCACAGCGCTAACGCACAGCGCTAAGACAGTGCTGACGCACAGCGCTAATGCACAGTGCTAATCGAATGTCATTCGTGAGCGTTTTGGCTGCCTGGAGTGGTGTTGCAGGAAGAGGAAGCAGCTGCTAAAAGGAAGCAGGAGGCACGAAGTGCACACTGACAAACAGCGCTAACTGGCGCTAACACACAGCGCTAACGCAATGCGCTGACCCTATGCCTGGATTGCTTGGGAAACAATTTGTCATTGAAAAGTTTTGGTTGCGTGGAGTGATGTTGCAGGAAGAGGAAGCAGCAAGAAAGAAGGCTTGGCCGTCCAGTGTCAAGTGCATCAAGTCTCTATGGGTCTTTCAAAGGCGTGCTTGTTGATTCTGCTTGTTCCATGTGGGCCACATCCTTGGGATTTGTGGAGCACAAAGTGAAGCACCACGTCGCTGCTTGTGACAAGGAGGAAGCGGCTGCTAAAAGGAAGCAGGCGCAGAGAAATTTTGTGAATTTGACTGGAAAACCAGCTTTTAAGATTCTCTCCGTCATGCCGTGAGTTTTTGCCTTGATTTGCGGAGCTTTTTAGCTGATTCAGCCTCTGATTCAGCTCTCTATTGACAAAACAGGAAGAAGAAGCAGCTGCAAGAAGGAAGCAGGTGCTCTGAATAGCGTATCAAACCCTGGTTTCCTTCAATAGTCTGTGATATGTTGTGATAGTATAGCAGAGAGTCAACGTGGCTTTGAACAAGTTGGGCTGCCCCTCGATCATGTTGATGCACCAACAAACACGGCAGATTTTGCAAGTGGAAGAGCGACAGTCCGATAAAAGCGGAGTGAAACCATTGTGCTTTCAGTCTCGGTGCATGCTTTGAGATTTGAGTGAATGGTGTGTAGGCAGTTTTTTCTCTTAGGCAAGGAAAAGTGAACGCAGTTCCTCTGTGGCCATTTTGTGTGAGGAAGAGGAAGCAGCCAAACAGAAGCAGGCCTGTTGGCTTTTCTCACCAGGGCGTTGGCTGGTCTCCTTAGAGGGTGCTAGCTTTTAGCTTATGACTCGTGAAAAGAAATGTACCTTTTTGATCCTTTTTGCCTGTTACAAGGAAGAGGAAGCAGCTGCTAAAAGGAAGCAAGAGGCACGAAGTGCACACTGACAAACAGCGCTAACTGGCGCTAACACACAGCGCTAACGCAATGCGCTGACCCTATGCCTGGATTGCTTGGGAAACAATTTGTCATTGAAAAGTTTTGGTTGCGTGGAGTGATGTTGCAGGAAGAGGAAGCTGCAAGAAAGAAGGCTTGGCCGTCCAGTGTCAAGTGCATCAAGTCTCTATGGGTCTTTCAAAGGCGTGCTTGTTGATTCTGCTTGTTCCATGTGGGCCACATCCTTGGGATTTGTGGAGCACAAAGTGAAGCACCACGTCGCTGCTTGTGACAAGGAGGAAGCGGCTGCTAAAAGGAAGCAGGCGCAGAGAATTTTTGTGAATTTGACTGGAAAACCAGCTTTTAAGATTCTCTCCGTCATGCCGTGAGTTTTTGCCTTGATTTGCGGAGCTTTTTAGCTGATTCAGCCTCTGATTCAGCTCTCTATTGACAAAACAGGAAGAAGAAGCAGCTGCAAGAAGGAAGCAGGTGCTCTGAATAGCGTATCAAACCCTGGTTTCCTTGAATAGTCTGTGATATGTTGTGATAGTATAGCAGAGAGTCAACGTGGCTTTGAACAAGTTGGGCTGCCCCTCGATCATGTTGATGCACCAACAAACACGGCAGAATTTGCAAGTGGAAGAGCGACAGTCCGATAAAAGCGGAGTGAAACCATTGTGCTTTCAGTCTCGGTGCATGCTTTGAGATTTGAGTGAATGGTGTGTAGGCAGTTCTTCCTCTTAGGCAAGGAAAAGTGAACGCAGTTCCTCTGTGGCCATTTTGTGTGAGGAAGAGGAAGCAGCCAAACAGAAGCAGGCCTGTTGGCTTTTCTCACCAGGGCGTTGGCTGGTCTCCTTAGAGGGTGCTAGCTTTTAGCTTATGACTCGTGAAAAGAAATGTACCTTTTTGATCCTTTTTGCCTGTTACAAGGAAGAGGAAGCAGCTGCTAAAAGGAAGCAAGAGGCACGAAGTGCACGCTGACAAACAGCGCTAACTGGCGCTAACACACAGCGCTAACGCAATGCGCTGACCCTATGCCTGGATTGCTTGGGAAACAATTTGTCATTGAAAAGTTTTGGTTGCGTGGAGTGATGTTGCAGGAAGAGGAAGCAGCAAGAAAGAAGGCTTGGCCGTCCAGTGTCAAGTGCATCAAGTCTCTATGGGTCTTTCAAAGGCGTGCTTGTTGATTCTGCTTGTTCCATGTGGGCCACATCCTTGGGATTTGTGGAGCACAAAGTGAAGCACCACGTCGCTGCTTGTGACAAGGAGGAAGCGGCTGCTAAAAGGAAGCAGGCGCAGAGAATTTTTGTGAATTTGACTGGAAAACCAGCTTTTAAGATTCTCTCCGTCATGCCGTGAGTTTTTGCCTTGATTTGCGGAGCTTTTCGGCTGATTCAGCCTCTGATTCAGCTCTCTATTGACAAAACAGGAAGAAGAAGCAGCTGCAAGAAGGAAGCAGGTGCTCTGAATAGCGTATCAAACCCTGGTTTCCTTCAATAGTCTGTGATATGTTGTGATAGTATAGCAGAGAGTCAACGTGGCTTTGAACAAGTTGGGCTGCCCCTCGATCATGTTGATGCACCAACAAACACGGCAGATTTTGCAAGTGGAAGAGCGACAGTCCGATAAAAGCGGAGTGAAACCATTGTGCTTTCAGTCTCGGTGCATGCTTTGAGATTCGAGTGAATGGTGTGTAGGCAGTTTTTTCTCTTAGGCAAGGAAAAGTGAACGCAGTTCCTCTGTGGCCATTTTGTGTGAGGAAGAGGAAGCAGCCAAACAGAAGCAGGCCTGTTGGCTTTTCTCACCAGGGCGTTGGCTGGTCTCCTTAGAGGGTGCTAGCTTTTAGCTTATGACTCGTGAAAAGAAATGTACCTTTTTGATCCTTTTTGCCTGTTACAAGGAAGAGGAAGCAGCTGCTAAAAGGAAGCAAGAGGCACGAAGTGCACACTGACAAACAGCGCTAACAGGCGCTAACACACAGCGCTAACGCAATGCGCTGACCCTATGCCTGGATTGCTTGGGAAACAATTTGTCATTGAAAAGTTTTGGTTGCGTGGAGTGATGTTGCAGGAAGAGGAAGCAGCAAGAAAGAAGGCTTGGCCGTCCAGTGTCAAGTGCATCAAGTCTCTATGGGTCTTTCAAAGGCGTGCTTGTTGATTCTGCTTGTTCCATGTGGGCCACATCCTTGGGATTTGTGGAGCACAAAGTGAAGCACCACGTCGCTGCTTGTGACAAGGAGGAAGCGGCTGCTAAAAGGAAGCAGGCGCAGAGAATTTTTGTGAATTTGACTGGAAAACCAGCTTTTAAGATTCTCTCCGTCATGCCGTGAGTTTTTGCCTTGATTTGCGGAGCTTTTCGGCTGATTCAGCCTCTGATTCAGCTCTCTATTGACAAAACAGGAAGAAGAAGCAGCTGCAAGAAGGAAGCAGGTGCTCTGGATAGCCCATGAAACAACGGTCTTTTTCAAACATTCTGTGATATGTTGTGACAATGGCACGCAGAGTTAGAGGGAAACCTGGTTTGAACACTAAAATGTTGTTGTTGGCCTTTTCCGTGTGACTTCGTGTTGAGAGCACAGGAAGAGGAAGCTGCTGCAAGAAAGAAGCAGGCTCGGCTTTATGATTGGCCTCATCCTCCTCCTCCTCCTCCTCATGCTCATCATCCTCATCCTCATCGTCATTGTCATCCCCATCCTCATCCTCATCCTGAACCTGCATGATCTGCCTTGGATGCAGCTTGGCCAGGAAGAGGAAGCTTTGGCACGACAGACTGAGGTGGGTCCTTTGTCATTTCGCCAAAAGGCGGACAATTAACCAACAAAAAATGGTGATATTTTATGAGGTGATACTTTATGGGGTGGTAATAATGACTAGTAATGGGATACAACTTACAACTAAGATCAACTAACAAAATGATATTTGGGTCTCAAAATGATGGATTATCCCAGTCAACATTGTCATCTCCGGCGGGAAGATGAGGAGAATTTCCATGGGGATTTTAGGGTATCATGGCAATTGAAATGAAGAAACCATGCTGTTCCAGGAACAGACTTCCTGCTTTTTTAAACTGACTAAACGGCTTCATGGATTCTTGACCTTATAGTCTATCGTTTTTGGAGATTGCTTATCATCAGCAACTATGCGGAAGGCGGATGCTGCTCGAAAAGAGGTGGGCCACATGGCAGTAGCGGCAGGATTTTCTTTCAGAATAAGCTGAAGGGAATTTTTTTTTGAGTAAGGACAATCACCATATTTGATGGTAAACACATGTAAACACCATGATTTTCAGCGCAATTTATCCCTTCAATCAATCCATTGAGAATTCAAATCGTTGCAATTAGCAAAGGAATGGCTCTCTCTCTCTCTCTCTCTCTCTCGCTCGACAATTTATGGCTGAATATCCGTGGTTAGTTTTGTTCACATCACATCAACTACCCTGCCATAAGACATCATGATGAGGAGTTCAAGCGGGGCCTGAGATTCACAGCCCAAACTGCCTATCAATTTGGCGCAAATCAAAAAAACCAACGGGGCGAATTTATCTGGATATCATGCAAACAATGATCCAATGATCCAATGACATCCAATGACATCCAACATAAATCCAGTTTATTGAACGTTGATTTATTAAATTTATTAGTTGATTGATCAGTTGGGCATAGTTGATCCTTAAATTTATCCATGGTGACAGCCGTTGGATCTACACCACTTTCCAGGCAGCATCTCCCGAAGGCGCCAGTGGCCAAATTTCAATCAGAAGCTGATCTCTTTTTGTGGCCCAAATTTGTGATTTGTAGATCTGGAAGATTCTGGAAGATTTTTTTGAAGACTCGAATCTCGATGAAGTTTGAACAGATGCTGGATGAACATTGAGAAATGTTGTGAACATCGCCAAGTCGCAGGCGAGCCAAGCATTGAAGCAGTGGAGGATCTGTCCGACGTAAAGGCGGCAAAAGATGATGTTTGCTGATGATGTTCATCCACATGATGATGACTGTCTACTGGATGTGGCACCTTTTCCCTCCAACCTTTGTTGGATGCAAAAGTGACTGTTTACTTCATCCCGGACATGGTTTGGCGAGAATTCAATCCCACTATTTATAATCGGAATCATTTTAATATCCTCCATGGATTCAAGTTAATAAGTTCAAAACAATATCAACCACAGTTTGATATAGTTTTTCATAGTATCCCCAAGATATTAATCATGGAATCCTTTAGATATCACGAAAAATCGCGGTCTGAAGAACGTGCCCCTGTTCCATGCACAAGGTGGGCATCCAGGATCTCCTCCAAGATGCATTTGAGTCCACGACCAAAAAAGGGACCAACGAAGCAGTTGCTTTTGTTTGTCACAAAATAGGGTGAATACTGAATACCCAAATTGACCATCTTGGTAGAAAAACAAAATGAACAAAGTGAATCATAAACCATTGGAATCCATTGGACACACTAGGGTATTCTATGTTTGGAGAAATCCGTTGTGGGAGAAGTATGAAATCTGCTTCTGATGTCATTTCTCTGCTTCACTCCCGAGGCAGGGCGTCCTTGTTGAGGCTTTGGCCATTTTTTTGGCTCAGGTCCAGCTGAGCCTCCGGGGTCTTGGAGATGGTGTGATAATGGCTCATGTTGAAGGGTAGAAGGGGAACTAACATGAACTGCCCTCTGGTAAACTAACATATAACTATGGAAAATCACCATTTTTGATGGGAAAATCAACTATTTCAATGGCCATTTTCAATAGCTTTTTGTATGTTTACCAGAGGGTAACATGAACTAACCCTTACTAATCATGCAAAAAATTGGCAAATCCTCAAAGCTCGTGACTTCGCCGCACGCCAGGACGTTGATGACGCAGGTGATGCGTCCGAGTGGAAGGCGAAGCGGGGCGCTTCGCGCAGCAGATTTCTGACATTTTCTGACCGTGATGATACCGATCATGATACCTTTACAACATTTTACAACAATGTTTTTTTTTTCAATATATTTTTTAAAACTTTTACAACACTTTTACGTCACATAGTTTTTTTCTTTCCGCCCGGTAGTCTGGTGGAGACAGCCTCTATCAATCCGAATGCAAATATTTTCAGATTTGTAAGTGCTTTCTTAACTCTACTGAGCGAGACATTGCTTGCTTCCAAGGGGTAGGAGTCACACATTTTTGAGAAAACCTTTAGCCCCCTTTCGATTTGAGCGGCAGGAGATGATGAGATTGGAAGATATGCAAAAAGCGAAGAGTGACTGGGCTTGCCAGAAAGAAAAGACTTATAGTACAAAAAGATACACAATTAGCTTGCCGTACCATTATTTTACTAGGATTTTACTCTCACTTTGCGATTGAAGGCAAATCCCTTTCAGTTGCATTCGAGCACACGCCTGGAAATTGTTATAAGTTATAAGTTATAAACATGACAGTAATGAAGAGATCCTGTCAAATGAATCGGATGTAATTTAAAGAATCTTGATTCTTGTGTTCAAATTAAGTCAATTTTTAGGCTAGTCTTTTGATATAGAGATTAGGACGCGGATTTGCATTTAAGTCTGCCAAGGTAAAAAGTCCGAAGGAAAGCATGAGGTGCCACGATCCCAAATTGCCTGATTCAGTGCTTCCACCAGAAGATGAACATCATATCAATCATATCTTATTTTTCCTTCTGTACATCAACAATGATTAGAAGTCTCACTTTATGTAGTGCGGTCATCTACATGTCTCAAGAGCCAGCTGGTTTGCTGGAACAGCCCCGCCAGAAGCGCGAGAAGAAGCGGCAAAAGGAAGAGGCAAACCAGGCGAACCAGGCGAACCAGGTGAACCAGGCGAACCAGGCGAACCAGGCCAGGGACCATGGAGGGTTTCTGGGATGGTCCCAACTGGCTACAGATGGTTTCAAGAACGGGTTGACGTTGACGTTGCCATCTTTTTGCAAGCTCAATATAAAGGTTCCGGGGCGGGGTCAGGGCTGGTTCCGGAAGTTCTGGGGGGCTAGTACTGCAGAGGTTCCGGAGGTTCCGGTGGCAGCGAACCTGGGATGGTTCCGGATGGGTCGCCCGTGGCCGTTGAAACTTGGGCAACGGCCTCACACTGTCCTATCAATTTTGGGGCGATTTGACCTGTGTAGCACATGAATTTGCGCTCGAAGGAGTTGGTTCCTGAAGGCCGTCCCACCGAGGAGCTGAGAAAGATGGAAGTAGCGGCTCTAAAGTCACGTCGAAGGGCTTTTCTCCAAAGATGAGGTACATGTATTTTACCGCCAATAGATGGTGTTTTAGTGGGACAATGGCATAGAAACTCTTGGACATTTTCACAAAATGATCATGGCAATACTTTAATGGGAAAGCAATCCAATGGAAATATGGGGTCAGTGCCAGGAATTGCCTCCATTAAAGCCTCGGATGAAGCTTGCACCGCTGGCCGGGCAGCCCAGTTCTTGTGTGTGACGTAAAACATGGAGATGTTAATTGTAAAATGAGTATATAATTATTTTGGTGGGACACATGGATATTTTAATGGAAACATGGAGATTTTGATGTGAAATACATGGAAACATGGATCTTTGAATGGTAGATTTTGATGGACCAATGGAGTATGTGAAAGGGCTACATGAGGTTTTAATGGGAAACATGTGGATTTCATAGGATTATTATCGATATGAATGGGGAATCATGGCAACTTTCAAAGCAAATTTGTGACAAAAATGTATGTGAAAACATATCGAAAGATGCAGTAACACGCCATTGATGTGCGAACGTTGGAGTTTAACACTTGTATTTGGTTTGTCAACCACGCCTGTTGCCATGTCAAATGTCGAGACCCTAGGTTGCCCCAGCTGGCCCTGCCGAAGGATGATTCTTGTGGGACGGCCCAAGTGCCAAGGGTGAGCCCACCATTCCTGTAACAGGATGATCAAAGAGATTGGGCATCCAGAGGCGTAGAACGTGTTAGGTCCGCCCAGTTATGTTTGTTGGTTTATAACCCCATGAATAGTATAGCTATAACGATATACCCCCGTGAACCATATACTGAACCAAGTCTTGTGCGTCAACTTAGCTGTAAACGGGGGCCCTGTTGGGCCACATTGATTCTCCATGCCTCGCCCACTGAGTCCTCTGGCTCAGGTGGCTGATGAGCCGATCGCTACTCAGACGGCGATGAATGTCCACTGTAGCACGCAGAGGTTAGATCCGTCGTTGCGGAGCCCGGTGGAAAAGAATTGTGGAACCACACACACACAGAACCAGTTTTCGAATTCTTAAACTCTTACAAGTCTGACAAGTGAATAAGAGCAATTGCTGCTTCCTCTTTGGCCAGTATTTTTCTTGGTTCGAGGATAGTGAAGCCCCAAGTAGAGCAGGAACATGCATTTCCAGAAGCAATAGCTTGTGTGCATCACAGACATGGGGACTTAGATTAGACTTAGAATGTGACTAGTCTTCCCAAAATCCCTGGTTGTTGATGGTTATATGGGATTATACTATTTGAACCGCATCTCACTGCTTGACTGGGCAGAGCTTTCAAAATCATCCAACAGCAGGGTGTTCCTCAGAGTTTCAATCTCTGCTGAGAAGTTAGGTAGGAGGGGACTGCAGCTCGTGCAGCTGCCGCATAGCGAGTGGTGCACCAAATGGTGCCAAAGACGTCACTTACCCGTGTCAGGACTGCAGAAAAGAAGGCGTAGGTTGGCAAGTGGCGGTATGGAGTAGAGTAAGAATGCAGAACGGAGCAACGTCAACGGCCTTTGTTAACCCCATGTTGATCCTGTACTGCCGATGTTGTCTAAATTTTGGGCATATCTTGGACCTATGTTTGCAGCTTCCTCAATTTTATGACCCCAAGTTGATCCAATGTTGAACCTATATAAATGGTCGGTGTTGTCGCAATTTTGGCCTATCTTGGATCTGTGTTGGACCTATGTTGGCACCTTCTGTGTTGGATTTCATATTCTGGGGGATAGGATTCATCAATGATTGGGTGTGAGTATGGTGGATACCCTCTGGTAAACTAACATAGCTATTGAACATGACCATTAATAGTGGATTTTCCCATTAAAAATGGTGATTTTCCATAGCTATGTTAGTTTACCAGAGGGTACATCCATTCCTGACCACAAAAAAAGGCAGGACTCCGGCAGGACTCCGACTTGTGGAGCTCCGAAGGTCGAAAATCACCAGTTCCCCCCTTTTTAGAACCCCTGGAAGGGCCATATTCCACGACCCCTCTCGCGGCGCCGTTCACCTGGACATGATTTGAAACAACAGCCCAAATGGCCCAAGTGTTAGGTTTCATGATCCGTTGCTGAAGAACAACCAATGCGGAAGAGCTCAACTTGCCGTTGCAGCGTTCAGAAGTGATTGACTCTGAAGCACCTTCTGAATGACCAATCTGAAACGCCTGTTGGTTTTCCGGTGTTGCGCTTCGACCGTCGATAGCTGATGGATCATCATGGTCCTCATGGTCATCATGAGTCACACAGAGTTCGCCAGGCGGGGTGTTGTCCTGGCTGGTTGAAAAAGGGTAGTACAAGTATGTATTTTGGGCCCTGGGCAGTGCTTATTTATCAATGACATTTCACTGGAATTGGACTGCAGCATTTCTTCGGCTTTTCACGTTTTCAAGATTTTGAGCATTTAGACACTTTTGCATCGTTGATCTTGGCTGTTCGTAGCTGCGCCATCTAAAAACCTGTGTGTTCTTAACGCCTAAATTTAACATGGAAGCCACAGACATAACTACTGTAGGGCCTGGAAGATGATGTTCCGTAAAGAAAATGGGTTCCATGTTGAATGTTAGGGGGATCCAATGGGATCCAATGGGATCCATGCGTAAAACGCATCGGTGTTTGACAGGTGAAGGATGCCAGAGAGACTCGTTTGGGCACCTGACACGTGAATCGATCTTGCCAACTTCAGGTCTTAGAATGTCTTAGATACAGCTACTCAATGGAGAAAAATACACACCCAATTTGTGCTATATTCCTTGAGGCTTACGCGCTATTCGGTAACAACGGAATATGTTTTTTCTTCTGATGAAAGCGGCAAGCCCACTTTGGGACAAAGCCATTTGCATTTTTTTCGTTGAAGAGCAATTGCCGCGCCTGTTCCTAGCTGGAAATCGTTCGAAGAAAAGTTCGTTTTCATGCCATTTGCAAATGCACTGCAAAAAAAATATCCCGGACCTTTCACACGCAATAGGAGGGTCTGCATTTTTGCATATCAGCTATCAGTCCATTTTTTGTTGGGGAGATCCACTTTACCAGTGGTGTTGAGGCGGCCATTTTCTCTTTGGCCCCGGGAGTATTAAACAAGGTACCGGTGCTGATAACGGACCCGGTGTTTTTAATGATTTTGATTTCAACCATTCTTCATTGATTTGTTTAAACTGTGGCGCCGTGACGATTCTGTTGTTTTGCCTTCGATTAGAAATGGCGTTTTCGTCCCACGTTACGCTAGGAATTGGTTCATTGATCATTGAATTCTATTGGGCCAAATAATTTGCAAATGTGGATTTGGAAAACGGAATGAAAGACGGCGTGTCGTCCTCTTCTTTTTCTCTCTTCATGGGTGGGTTCTGCGTCTGCGTTTGTTAACCTTAGCTGCCAGTTTGGCGAGACTTCCTTTCAAGTCTGCCTTGTGGCTCCAACGATAGGCGAAGGACCACACATACTGTTGGATTCTTTGAGAATCCTTTTTGGTAACCTTGTCTTTGCTATGGACGGAGACGGGCACGAAGCGCTTCAGTTGCATCGTGATAAACCATTATTTGTCAGGTGTGTTTCAATACAATGAACAAACAAAAGAAACTATGAGATGAGTGATGTACGATCCAGACATGATAACAGCCTCTACTCTTGGGAATCCATGGTGTTAGCGGTTCATGGGTCCGATCCGGTAAGCAAATTGATGTGAAACTCTCAACTCTCAAATGTCAACATTACACGCCTTACTTTACTCACCTGAAAATAGAAAGACAAGAGACATGTTACAGCGTAGCATCAAAAGCGCTTGACAAGTGACCAGAGACATGTTACGGCGTAGCATCATGTGCGTAAGGCAAGTGACCAGAGATATGTTACAGCGCAGCATCAAAAACGTGTGACAAGTGAGCAGAGACATGTTACAGCGTAGCATCAAAAGCGTGTGGCAAGTGACATGTTACAGCGTATCCCTTGCCCCCCCCCAACCCCCTCCCCCACCCCACCCAGTTCCCCAAAAAAATCACACTATCCTTCGCACACAACTTCTAACTGACGCGCACAACTTCTAACTGACGGGCACAACTTCCAACTGACGGGCACAACTTCTAACTGACGTGCACAACTTCTAACTGACGGGCACAACTTCTAACTGACGGGCACAACTTCTAACTGACGGGCACAACTTCTAACTGACGTGCACAACTTCTAACCGACGGGCAAGCGACAGCAAAAAAACAGCAAAACCTACGGGTCCGTGAACAGCGCCGGTAGCTTAAACCATCTGTGCGCGATGGCCAATATACGCCTTAAGGACCCAGACAAAGTTGTTGCTAGTGGTGGTAGCTCCAAAATGATGGTAGCGAGGAGCGACTGGCTATGATTGCCAGCTCACTGACTTTGTCAAGTTCTGGCGGTTCTGGCGTCTTTCAAGGTCCACTTCACGGGACGTCATTTAGCCACCGCTGAGGTCAAGGTCGATACAGCGCCTGGCTGAAGAAGGTAGGTGTTTCTGCCGACTCAACAAGCTAAGTGAGGAGAGATGCAGTTTAGCTTCTTCAGTTGGTGATGATGAACCTTTAATCCCAGATTTCTTGGGGGATGAGCATAAATGATCATGAATCATCATAAATCCCAGCTATTTTTAGGATGTTCCCCAGGACCAAAGAGGACCCTGTTGCAGGCCAAGAGCCGGGATGCTTGCTTCAAGCTACAAAGTCATGTGATGAGGCACCACACCTGCAGGATTGATAAAGTGTAAGCGATGTGTCAATCAGACCGTTCCTCCGATCCAAACCTTCAACTTTTCGATTGCAGTATCTCAGATGTATGGCATTGAATGCGGCTGCGCCATGGTGAGATACTTCACCATTGACTTTGATGCGCGCATCATCTTCTACTCTCATTCTGTCCTGCAGAAGAAGGCTGAAGATTTTGCAAAGCAGAAACCGAGTCTGGGTGCCGGATTCATTGCCCTTAAATTGTAGCTGGGGCTGCAAAAGCCTCTGCTATTTGCAATGTTTGATTTTTTTCTCCCACAGGTTTTCCATGTTTTCTTCATGGGTTTTCCTTGGTTTTTCACATTTTACCATTGGTTTTTTTCGTTTTCTCCACGACATGAACATCTTTTTTTCCCCACCTGCCATTTTAACAAAGGTGCAACTCCACTCCTCCTTCTTCTCCTCCGTCCCCTCCGCGGGTCTGCTCTGCCAGCTCCGGATGCTGTGGGGCACGCCTGGACCCGAACTGTAGATCGCAAGCTTCGGTGGCTGTGGAGTGTGCCTAGGCCCGATCACCATATCGCGAGCGCAGAAGGCTGTGGAGCGTGCCTGGGCCCGACCGCTATATCGCGAGCGCCGGACGCTGTGGTGATTCAATGCGCTGTGCGATTGTCTTTTGTGATCGAGGCTTTGACGTTTCGTCCAGGTGATGCTTGGAGGGTAGGAATCGCACGAAACCCTTTGTTTTCTCGCATAAAGTGACTCCCGGCGTCGATGTGGGGAGCCTCGTTTGTGCGACGGGTGCGGCTGGCGCCCGAGTGTTCCCCATTGTCAGCGCTGCGCGGCTTTGATCTTTTAGAGATTGGATGCGCTGTGCCAAAGTAGTATTGGGAAGTACTTTGCGCAAGCTTTGCAGTACGAAGTAGTACTGGGACTGGGAAGCATTTTGTGCAAGCTTTACTGGGAAGCACTTTGTGCAAGCTTTGTAGCACGAAGTAGTACTGGGACGAACTGGGAAATAGAACGCCAGAGATAGAATGCCAGATAGAATCCAGATAGAATGCCAGAACAGATGCCAGAAAGAATGTCCGAATAGTTGCCAGATAGAATGCCAGAGAGGGTCACACCACATGCCTTGAAATGCCAAGGGTGGGGATCACTCGAAGGAAACGCAACGGCTGGAGGTCTCGCCGCCGATTCCCTTCATGGACATCCGAGGTTCGGACCCTCAGCTTGGTGGACCTTTGAGGAACCCACAGATCTTTGTTTTTTAAATAACCTGGAGCCATAGCTTGAAACAAACAGGACAGTTTTAATCGGATGCTTTTCATTTCAATATATAATTATCGGATGGTTATGAAATGGTATGAACAAACAGATAAAATATTTCAACATTCAACACACACACATATATATATAGGATCCTATAATATCATTATGGTTTTGTCCGATGATTCATTGGAAACCACTTTTTGACCTGTAAAGCCAAGTGGAGAACCGGCTGAGGCGCTGAAGAGTGGGCAGCTCAGATCCCATCCTCCGATCGCATAGCCCCATTTTTCAGGACCCAAAGTGAAGAGAAATCTTAAACTTTGAACCAGGGTTCGATTCGGGTGTCTTTAATGTGATTGGAGGAAAACTTTTGTTTTTGTTGTTGATTTTTTAGAAGGACAATGCGGCTTGGAGATAGGGTCAAGGATGCTTATTTCAGGCTATTCCACTTTGTCCATCTCCAGGCTGCCACTGCCGATGAAGCACGCGAAAGGCACAACAGCCATGCACGGGAGCTTGGTCACCCCCACTGACTGTCCGCACCACTTTTGTTTGCAGCGGATTGGTGATGTTGTCATCTCATTGTTGTTTGTTGATCAAGCACACACACAACGGTCCAGAAGTTTAACGGACTAGAGGTACTTGCTGTACCATTTCATTGGTGGTCAAGAGATTGGGTGATTGGCTCTTTTGTGCGAAATTTCATTGATGCAGATATTCACCTGCTGATCTAGCAAACATCATTGCAGTCGCCATGCCTCACTATATTGAAACTCCTAGGCGATGATTTGCAATCCGCTCTAGGCAAACCAACCGGTCACTTTGATATCCTTTTTCAAGCTAAGTCTAAAATCTAATGCTCGTGGGTTGCAGATGCAAAATCCGAGATGTGTAGATTTTGAGTCTGGGATCGGCCCCGAATGTGAGGAATTTTGGCTTTGTTCTGCACACCAAACTCCGCAGCTTTGAGTTTGGGACTGAGTGGCGCGATCGAGATGAATCCAACAAAGCTGGTTGTACAATATCTTTTTGGAAGGGTTTGAAACCATCGCAACCAGGACCCGATCTACGCTGACTTCACTCAGGCTCTACACCAGCAGTAGTGCGGATGCAGCTGAGCAACGAGCCTAGTTCGGCCAAGGCACTAAGGATGTGCCATGGAATCCTTCGGCCATATTCGGGGAACCATGACTAGGGAAGTAGAATAGCCAATAGAAGGATTTCCAGTCGCGGTTGGATGACCACAAGTCACCATGTTTTGACCAATCCGCATGTGGGGATGAGTCAAACGCTTGTTTTACATTTTTCTTTTGGAAGGAACAGCCGCAAACACCAGCTATCGTGACGCAGACATAGCAAGGTTATAATCATTGTAGTCCGTTTCCAATGAATCCAGGACCATGGTATTGTCCAGAACTTGCTTCATGCATGTAAGGTGGGCATTTGCCCTGAATGTCGACCGGCTCTCAGATTTTGTTGCGCCTTTGTCAGCTGGCAGACCAAGTTTTGAGGCCCAAACATGGACTTTGGCTTGGTAAAGTTGATTGTTTTACCCGAGAGCGTCTGAGCGAAGGGTTTTTCTAAAAGTGGAGGTCTGCTATACATCTTCACATGTTCACATAGTTCACATCTTCACATCCTCACATCCGCACATGTTCACATACTCACATCTCCTCGTCTTCACATCTTCGCACCTTCTTACCTTCACATGCTGACATCTCACATCTTCTCATCTTCTCATCTTCACATCTTCTCTCTCTCTCTCTCTTTCTATTTCTCTTTCTCTTTCTCTCTGTCCCTGTCTCTGTCTCTTTCTCTGTCTCTTTCTCTTTTTCTTTCTCTTTCTCTCTTTCTCTCTGTCTCTCTCTCTCTCTTGCCCTCTGTCACGGTCTCTCTCCTTCTTTTTCTTTTCACTCTTAAGGCCGCGGGCAGTGCCGACGAGGCGCCACGATATGGCCACCCTTTCGCACGAAACGAGGTTGGAGTGTCAAAAACTGATGGTATTTTGCGAGTTTAGCGCTTCCGCGGCAACCCTTTCGCACGAAATGAGGTTCGAGGCCTTTCGCACGCAAAAACTGAGAGTTTTTTGCGAGTTTAGCGCTTCTGCGGCAACCCTTTCGCAGTTTGCGAGTTTGGTTGGTTCTGGTAAAGGGTCTGCGTGTACAAGTGCTTGTGTGTAAAAGTGTTGGCGTGTAAAAGTCTGCGTTTAAAGTGTTTGTGTGTAAAAGGGTCTTTGTATAAACACGTCTGTGTGTAAAAGTGTTTCTGTGTAAATTTGGTTCTGTGCGAAAGGGACTGTGTGTAAAAAGCGTCTGTGTGTAAAAGTGTTTGTGTGTAAAAGGATTGTGTGTAAAAGTGTTTGTGTGCAAAAGAGTTTGTGTAAAAGAGTTTGTGTGTAAAAGCGTTTGCGTGTAAATGTGTTTGTAGATGCGTTGGTGTGTGAAAGCGTTTGTGTGTACAGCCTTTGTGTGTAAACATTATTGTGTGTAAAAGTGATTGCGTGTAAACATGTTTGTGCGGTAAAGGGTCTGCGTGTAGAAGTGTTTGTGTGTAAAAGAGTGTTTGTGTGTAAAAGCGTCTGCGTTTAATATTTAAAAGTGCTTGTGTGTAAAAGGGTCCGTGTGTCAAAGCCTTTATGTGTAAAAGTGTTTGTGTGTAAAAGTGGTTGTGTGTAAAAGCGATTGTGTGCAAAAGTGTTGGTGCGGTAAAGAATCTGTGTGTAAAATCACAGTTGTGTGTGGGGCATGTTTGTATGTATGAGCATGCGCTTGTATGTAAAAATGTCAGTCTCAATTCTTCTTCCTGTGTCTCTTTCCTTTCATAGCAGCAGTAGTAGTAGTAGTAGCAGTAGCAGTAGCAGTAGCAGCAGCAGTAGTAGTCGTAGTGGTAGTGGTAGTGGTAGTGGTTGTTGCCGCTGCCGCTGCTGCTGCTGCTGCTGCCTGAGTGATAGTTTTTTTGAGCCAACAGAGCCGGTGGAGAACTAGGATCAGGCGCAAGAAAAAAGTCAGCAAACAGCATATGGTCTATGGTTGCTTTATTTTTCATGGTCATGGCGACCGTCAGAAGGATAGAAAATTGAATCCTGACTAAAGTGGTGGTAAACCAAGCCTTTTCCGCATCCTGTTGTGGCTCACTATGCTTCAGAGCTACAAAACCTGTAGATCTTGCTGAAATTGGAAGGGCTGGGTCTGCAATGGCGGGTGAGGATACTGTTCCCTTTAAGAGAACACAAATATTGGCATCATTATTGAAAACGAAAAGTAGAGTAACTTGTTTTATTTTCGATATTTATATTTTGGTATTCCAAGATTTGTAACAAACATGTTGGAAGAAAATTGAGCAAGATTGACCAAAGTTGGCTGAAATCAGAAGGAAGATTGTCCAAAAAGATTCCTCACCAGTGCAGGGTGGTCATGCCAGAATCGTCGGACTGTCCGCATGCGCTGTTAGGGCAAATATTGGGGAAGGCCATCGGCTTTCTATTGTTGGATTAGATTGGACGTTTATCAGTTCCAGAAAGATCAAACCAGTAATCCTTATTAGATCAAAACGGGAAAGTCGATGAGGGCCCCTTACATCTTTAGAATTTCACAGGTTCTCCCTGCCAAGATCCACCATGTGCCTCATGGGGTGGGTGGTAGGCACTTCCCTGAGATGGAAGTTTTTTTTTGGGGATATCCTTCAGTTACGTTTGCTTGAACATAGGGTACCCCAAACTGGCCGGTCAACCAGAATTCTCGTCATTAAGGTTATGACGTGAAACATCATGCGCCACTCATGGTTGACCGGAGGGCCCCTTCGCAGAGCATGCGCTGGTTCGCTGCAACTTTGTGACAGTTAGAAGGAACTGACGATTCAACGGGCATGTCCCAAAGATGGGTTGGAGATCCTTTGGATCCCTGCAGCAGTTGGCTTCCAAATTCAATGCAAATCGCCAAGTTTGATCCATTTAGATAGAAGAAGCCAAGGGCGCGCCAGGCTGGGACCCAACACGGCCAAAAGCTCGTGGGATAGAGCTCTGCGCGCTGCCACATGTGGAGCGAAAACATTATTCGTTTACGGTTGCCAGCTTTTGGGCATAACCTGCAGCTGTGCAATGAGGCTATGCTGATGGGGAAGCTGAAATGCTTGGAGCGACTGAAGGCGCGGGCCGTGTGAGCAAACAACTTGGCTGGATGGGCACAAACGGCGGGTTGTTCAGCATTTTGGACTGGTCGTTAGCCAAAAACCTGACTTGTGCCGTGAAAACTTGCAAATCCAGTGCAACCCCGCTTGCTCACGAAAGTGTTTGTTGAGCCAAACACCAACGCAGGAGATATTGAAACGAAAAAACCCTAACAGTTGGATAACCAAGCACCTTTTTCCTCTAGTCAGCGCGTGAATGGGACACGCGTTGGTCACCATTCTGCCCTTGAAGGTATTGCAGGATGGGCAGGAGCTGAAACCATTGTTGCAGTTCCGTACGACATTGGAATTAGGCCAGTTTATGCGCCTTTTGATGTGGCCATTTCTGGATTTTGCACATGATCGATGGATTCCAAAAGGTTAATTTTTGAAATGGGTATGGATCAATACCTATTAATACCATTTTTAATGGGATTACATCCATTTACCAGCTATTTTGATGTTCACCAAATCAGACATTGTGCGAGCAACCGATTCAGACCTGTAGAGTTTGCCTGCAAAAACACCCTCCAGTCTCATCAGGAGCACCTCCCGACGGATGTGGAAAAGGCCCAGTCACTTAGTGACGAAATGAACGGAACTTGCCGCGATTTTGTATCCAGGCTGTTGTTGCCAGGCATTGTTCTGGGCAAAGATTCACCACAGTATCTAAACGATCCTAAAACATCTAAATCTGATGCATTGTACGATTCATTAAGCAGGCCTAACAGCTGTTGTGGGTTTCACTGCGCCACGAGAGCTAACAAGCAACTGCCCAAGACATCAAGAACTGAACTTTGTAGAAAATGACTCAACATGACACATGTCAACAGTATTCCTTGTGATTCTGCTTGTCAAAACCAAGCAATGTGTGCTGCAGCTGTGTCAAGGAAGAGGAGGAAGAGGCTCTGAAACAGGCAGGCATTGAAGTTTGGGTGATGGTATCAAAGATAAACTGGTTGGTACCTCAAAAATCGGAAACCCCAATTTTCCTACAACTACCCCTTGATGATACGCGAACACGAAATCTTTCAAGTGCCGAGGTCTCAATCTTGGGTCTAGGCTTGAGAAGAGAACTGACTGACATTGCAGGGTTCCTGATATTTCACCATTTGAGGGGAGGTTTAACATTGGTATACAGTATACATTGGTTAAATTATTTTGAACTAAATGTTGGTTTGGATGGTGGTTAAGACCCAGAACTCAACATTTAACCACCATTCAATCAGCATTTCACCGTTCTGCTTTTAGAAAGGAACCATCGAAACATCTCTGGTGACACCGTGACGCATGGATATGGCAGGTAGAGGAAGCTGCTGCCAGACTGCAGGCATTGTAAGTGAGTGGTGGCTAATAAATCTGAATGGGAATATATCAATATCTGTATTTTCATATCTGAATGGGACTATATCTGTATTATATACATATTTTCATATCCAATTAAAATAACTCCCGGATACTCTGATTTGAGGTGGCAAAAAACCCCACAGATTTCCTGCGTCCCATCCCGCGACCTGTGGCAACTCTCGCAGGAAGACGCCAAGAGAAAGGTGGGCGGTTGCTGTTTGGAGCCACGGCCGGTCATTTTTTTTGTTGAAAAAACCCTTTGATAAACTAACATAGCTGTTGAAAATCACCATGCTATTAGTGGGTAAATCAACTATTTTGACTGGGCCATTTTCAATAGCTATGTGCAGCTATGTTAAATTACCAGAGGGTATTCAAGTATTCTAAGGCTGGATTGGTTCTGTTTGGTCATCATTTTTTTCAAACCGTGTGCACCTGGATTTGTTTTGGGACCCTCGCCCAGCGAAAACCTCGGCGGAGGAGTTGCGGTTGCTTCAGATCCAGCTCCGTGCCAAGGCAATGCGCCCAATGCGCCAAGCGCCGCGTCAGTTGTCAAATTGAACACCCTCTGGTTATGTCAAAATAGCTATTGAAAATGGCCATTTATAGTGAGTTTTCCGATTAAAAATGGTGATTTTCCATAGTTATGTTAGTTTACCAGAGGGTAACTATGGAAAATCACCATTTTTAATAGGTAAATCAGCTATCAATGGGCCATTTTCAATAGCAAACTGTAAACGTGTACCAGAGGGTAAATTGATCAGCAAAAAATGGCTGGATCGCATGAGATGGCGGCACTTTGCTTGTAGTCTTATGTAACTTGACCATTGCACATGTGTTCTGGCAAGGATGAAGTTGCTGCATTCAGGAAGGAGGCTCCATGACCGGGGTGCGCATTTGAACTTTGTCCGTACTTTTCGGCAATATACCTATTTTTATCTATTTCACATGTGAACAATACAATATAATACAATTTACGAGTCCTGCGCTGATTGACAAAGACACACATGTTTTTATCAGTTTTGGCAATGCAGTACTTGACACCGTGTCTGTTGTGTACCATCCTTGTGCTCTTCTCTGGGTTCCTTTGTTTCTTCCCCGCAAGGAAGAGGAAGCCGCTGAGAAGAAGAAACAGGAGCAGGCGGCTGCTGAACAGAAGCAGGCGCTATCCTGTACCTTGTTGCAAAAAACTTGTCACCACCAATGAAGATGGCGCTCAAACATGAGGCATCCATTGACACAGAAATTTGGTAATTCGGCCTTTTTTTTAATTAAAGACATATTCTTGATCATACAAATTCCAAGTCCAAAACGGGGGATATATGGGTTTGCCTGGATGCTTTGTACCCAAATCGGCTCTTTGACCATCAAATTAGGATATGATGCTCCCTTTTTGGACAAACCCACTACCCCATTCTTGTTGGGTATCTACATTTTTTCCAGCCATACCATAATCCTTGTTGGTAAGTTCCCCAACTACTAATCCAGTCACATCAGCGGTTGAGGAAGCCAGTCTTCCTTCAAGGTGTTGGAAAAGCAGGCGGAAGACTTGCAGATGCTTCAGCTTCAACTCCTAATCCAGGTGGCCGGATGCAGTAGAGCTTCAACTGGGTCACATTCAATGTGTCTGAACATGGGTAACGGTATAGCCATGTATAGCCATAAAACATGGCCATAAAACATAGCAAACATGATGATAAACCATGTAGCATAAATTGATATAAATTGGGGTAGCACATTTTCAGACAAACCCCAGACCTTTGGATGACTGGGCAGACCTATCATTTTTGGGATTTTTGCAGTTCACTGGAGAAAATTGCACCCCCAAATGGAGAAGCCATTGCATAGAAGAAATATCAAGAAATGATCAGCCACCCATTGGACCCAGTATAGTATCCCAATGCATTGACCATAGACATGGAGTGGCCAAAACCTGCCTGAACGTCAAAAAATGGTCGTCACAGCGCGTTTTTTTCGTTCGAGGAGGAGGAGCTGACTGCGAGGAAGGAGGAGGTGGCTATCTTGCACGCGGATGGTTTCTTGCACGTTTGATGAACAGTCAAATCTGGAAGTGGAATGGGTTTGCCAAAAAAAAGGATTATCATCCTTTTCACGTTTCACTTCTTTTAATCATCAAAATAGATCCTCAAATTGCAATTATGAGGTGACAAACCCAAATCTATGCTTAAAGTAGAAAGACATTGACATTGAAGACGGCCCTGAGATGTATCCAGTGCTTCGAGTTACTGCAGGAAGAGAAAGCTGCCCAAAAGAAGAAGGCTGCCCTGGCGATGACCAGCTTTACATAGGGCTTCAACTTTCCACTCCAAAAAAAGAAAAAAATATATACATATGTATATATATATATTGTGGTTGGTCAAAACACCGAACCGACACTGGCAGCAAGGACAAAACTCTCAAAACCCTCCAGGTTCAAAGCGGCAGTCTTTTCTCGGCAACCACCTGCAAAAGTCTCAGGTGCCTCCAGTGCGGCAAAGATTGAATTGGCCTAAGGGCCACCAGTGTTCTATGAGCCCCAGGCTCCAAGGAACTGCCTCGTTCCAACCAATGGCAACAAGCGAAAACAATCCTCTCCCACCCACACCGTATGGGCTGCCCTGAGCCAATGCGCTATGGCACATGCCTTCATCATTAATTGGAACCCAGGTCTGGATAGGAGTTTCAGGGGGAACACCATGTCAAGCTGAAGTGCAACGATGCAGATTCACACTCCCTAAAATCCAACATTTAGAAAACATTCATCGTTGCACCCATTGCCATCAGCTGTTTTCAGCCATCGGAGGCGGTTTCTGGACGATGCTCGATTTTTAAGGATTTCCAACTCATCATTGAGGCGATATCTACCTAATTTCAGAGTCTCTCGCAAGAAGGATGTTTCCATTACTTTTGTAAGACAGTCTGCAAGTTGCGCAGCACTGTGCACCCATCTTAGTTCAACCCCTTCAGAAATAAGGTCCTTGATAGCTCTGGCATTAAGTTGGGTCCTATATTCCGCACAGTTAGGGGTGGCAGTGCGTGTGATTAGATCGTAAAGTGATTTGCAGTCAGTGGCCGCAACGCTTGGTGATAAATTTTGGGCATTTTTGGTGGCAGTGGCAACTGTTTGGGGTAAACCTTTCAGGGTGGTATTGGGTTGTTTCCAGTTGACTGTGGGATTCAGCATCCATGCCCAGCCGCATCCATGACAAATGGTCCAGCACACTGTTCAAGGAAACAGTTTCCGCCGCTAGCGTACTAGTGACGACCCTTTGGATCTTTTTGCAACCCCAGGCTAATGGAGACACAGGACAAGACACATTATCACTGATGAGTCTATGGGTTCCCATTATGATACTTCCGGTGTGGGAGCTGGGATTACTTTTTGACGCAAAAGAGGCATCCGAGAATGCTAGAAAGCGAAAGTCTTCCACAGGAATTGGTTGTATTTGAATTGTGGTATCATGATGTTTCTTGGCTTCATGTAGGGCTTGATTGGCGGAAATTAATGTGGTTACTGTGGCAGAGTTAATTGAAGATTGCAACATGCTGAGTCTGCTGGAGATGTCTGGTCGGGTGTGTACTGCAGCATATTGAAGACTGCCAACCAATCCTCGTAAGGCTTGTCTCTCGGTCTCAGTCACTACAGCATCCACTTGTTGACGTCTGTCATGGGAGATTTTGATTGGTTCAATGGCTCTGACATACGTTGATTGACTCATGGTAATGGTTCCGTTGGCAAGTTGATCCATTTCGATTCCGGTGAAAGTGAACTGTTTCAATTTCTTACTTCCAAAAGGGTACTTGGCTTCAAGAAGGTCCACCTTTTGAGAAAAGTATTGACTACCTCCACAAATGCCATCGTCTACGTGCAAACCTAGTACACCTTCCAATGATCCTGTAGCATGATGGTACAACATAAACTTACAGGGATCAAATGGGCTTTGTGTAAAACCAAGTTTGATCAGTTCCTCGGAGATGGCTTGGAACCACTGATAGGGAGCATCAATAAGTCCGTAGGCACCCTTCTCTAGTTTGCAGACCTGATTGGTGGTCAATTGGAGAGCTTCCACAAGTTCACTCACAGGTTCTATGGCCAGGACTCTGTTCGACTGAGGTTTGCCTTGGAGGAAAGCCGCACGGATGTCAAAGGATCTCAGTTGCCAGCCTTTCGAAGCAATCAGTTGCAGCAGCAGCATTTTTGAATTTCTTCCTAGAGTTGGTGAATCTCTGGGTAATTCCTCTAACTTTGGGTCCATGTAACCAAGAATCACGAGTCTGGCCTTGGCTTTGGAGGTTCGGCCTATTTTCCTGTCTTCCGGTGTTGGGTCATCTATAGGTTTCCATGTTAAAACCCACCGACATCGCAATATCTGGTCATGAGGGACCTGATTTCGAAGAATTTTGGAGATTGTTCCCGTTTTGATCCAGTTCTCAACTTCGTTTCTCTTGGCTTTCTGAAATTCAAGTTTCTCGGCTGCTGTCAAGTTGGTTAGCTTGACTTCTGATCGCTGTCGTTTGGCAGCTGATACCAGAAAGGCCATTTCAGCCACATCTGGCTCCTGTTTCCAGGCTTCGATATCCTTTTCAAGGACAGGGATCTCGCATCGCCATGCCAAATCATCATCGGCGGAGATCAGGCAAGGGTCATCATCTATGCACAATAGATTGTCACACATGAGGTCATCATCACTAGACTCGGGTATAGGTGTTGTTATGGCAGGATCATTAAGAGGATTATTATCTTCAGTGGTTGATGGTACGTTAGGGGTTTCAGGATTATGAGCTTCATGGGAATCGTCAGGTTGACTGGAGTTTGGGGATTTCTGTGACGGCACCTCTGGTTCATCATCAGGTTGGCCCTCTGATTCAGTGGAAATTCTGGTGGTACGGTTAGGATTAGGGTTAATTGGATTTTCAATGGGAATAGTATCTGGAATGTCAATGGCTCTGGTGATTCCTTGGGATTGAAGTTGTGAAAGTTGCTGGGCTATGGTGGAAATCGATGGCTCATCGGATCGAACTGGGATTTCTCGAGCTTCATGGGCAGTTACAGGCCTAACATGTTCTGGAGCACAGCGGTATAGTTTGCAGGCTAGTGTAGTCCACACCGTCTGTGCATTTTCGTGGACAACCACTTTCATGGGGCCTAGCCAGTGGCCCGGATGGGCTCCTTTGCCTTGTCGCCATGTCATGACCCACTCACCTGGTTCATATTGGCGATTGCCCGGACGGGAACGCCGTAGCATTGCTCTGCGGAGGCTGGCATCATTGTCCGCCTGGAAGAACGCCAAACGGGCCGTCTCTCGCATCGCCAACTGACGTCGGAAGGCAATTCCTTGTGCAGTTTCGGCATCAGCCAGGAAGTGCGCAGGTAACATTTCGTCACTGCACACAGCGCCAGGCATACGAGTTTGCTTTCCAAGGACTAACATCTCTGGAGGAAACCCTTTCTTAAGACTACTGGCATTCTTAGCTCTCACACACCAATACAAGGCTTGGGCTAGATCCATGTATTGATTGATGTTGTGATCACTTTCGAACTTGGTCAGCATGGTCTTTAGAACTGAGCCATGGCGTTCGGCTTTGCCATTCTGATACTGTGCTTCCGGGCTGATTGTCGTGAGTTTGATGTTATTCGCCTGTGCAAACACTGCAAACTCTTCAGAGTTGAACTCACTCCCTGCATCAACAATCACTTCGCTAGGAGAACCAGCCCAGGCAAACCACATGTCAATCATCAGTTGGATGATGGCAGCTGAGGACCTGTCAGGCACTATCCGCGCACACTGGAAATTCGTGGCCCAATCAACGATGTGGAACACTCTGAATTGGGTACCATCCTTGTTGGTCCAGTCAAATTCATCCATACATATGCGGTCATTGAAGTCCAACTCATCACGAATGCTTCCAGGACGTGCTAATTTTGGTTGTTGGTTCTCCTGACATGTGGAACACTTGAGGTCCAAAGCGGCTTGGGCTACCTCAGCTCGAAATCCTTGAGATCTCAGTAACGTGCTCAAACGTTCTCCACTGGGATGTCCAAGATTCTTATGAGCTCTAAGCAAAGCTACTTGTTCATCTCTGGGCAATGACCGGAATCGAGCTGATTGGTGTGGGCTTTGCAAGTCGGCGATCTGTGAACTCGACAGATCCTGAGACGCTGGTTGTTTGGCCGAGTCTGAATTAGACTTCTGAAGATTCTCTTCGGTTTCTTCAGATGTCACTTGATCGGAAGGATTGTCTGACAGAGTCTGTTGGCTGTCAGCGGCACGGGAACCTATCATGCACGGAGAACTTGCACTCGTGGTCGATTGCTCTGTGGTGGGCTTTTCACGTGCAAACAAGGTTATGTTAATCCTAGTAACATGTGATGGTCTAATCAGATTTCTTTTGGCCAAATTTTCCCATGGTTCCCAATCTTCCTCAGCTCGGATTTCCCCTGAACCCCTTTCGGTGTAAATGCATCTTCGGAGTGGTGCCATTCCCTTCAGGATGTGCTCTGGTGGTGCTAGGGTACGACTGGCTCCTCGACAGGCTACAATGGACATGATTTCTTTTTCAGGAATTAAGGCTTGAATGGACTGCACGATTTCGGTTTGGTCCACGCCGCGTCTTCCTACTCTTGGCAAGATTTCATGTACCTGATCAAAAATGGCTTTCCAGGAGGCTTTAGCATCTAGGGGTTTGGTCTTGACACTGCATTTCTGCCTCTTGCCCCAGGGCAATTGGGTGACCTCTCGAGTGCGGCTGAGCTTGGCAGAAGCGTATCGTTGCAGCTTCGGACGCTTGGGGCTTGGTGATTCAGGATGTTCTTCTTCAGCAGCAAGTATCGACCAAACTTCGTTGCGGTATGGCACTTCGGATGGCTTCTGCACCCGGCCCAGGATGAAAGCTAGCTTTCTGGCAAACTTTCGTGGATAGTTTTCGGTGAAGGTGGATCGATTGATCTTTTGCCCTTCCACAACTACTTGGCCCTCTATGGTTTGGTGTTGGTGGTTCCCAGGACATCTCAGACCATGCAGTGACTTCACCATATATTCCGAAGTGGTCATAATGGTTAAAGACTTCTTGATGGGTAAACCATTGTTTGGGTCCTTAAGGTTTCCGGCAACACAGAGGTCAACATCAACCGGCAGCATATAGTATCGAACCTCTTGCATGTATGGAACCTTCAACATCAGTGATCCACGTGGTTGTTCCCAATGCATGTGGTTTGAATGCTGTCGTTGAAACCGAAGGATCACAATCCCTAGGGCCAGTTGTCCCAAATGTTTCATCCTGTCTTGCTGCAAGGCATCCCAAGATTCCAGAGATCGGCTGCCGTTGAGACATGAGAAACCACTCCATGGCCCACAAGTAGGCGAAAACCACACCTGTTTGGGCTTGCGTTCAACAAGCAAATGAAACAAGCTGTCACGGCCTTGAAGTGTTTGCAAGTCTCCCTGCAACATGCCAAAGCGTTCAGCCCTGTATCCAAGCTTCTGGGCTTGAGATGTCAGCTGACTCTGCGGTCCGCAAAACACTTCCAGCAGATCCAATCTCGGCTCCCTGTTATGTTGGTGACGTTGAACAATTGTTTGAAGTTCTTTCGAGTATTGTTGGATCAAATTTTGAAAATGGACTCTTTCACGATTGCTTTCAGGCGTGAAGTTGGAGTTTGAAGGATAATTGCAATCATCACTGAGATCACCTGCTAACAGGGCTTTTGAAATGCTAGGATCTTCAACCGGACTCACTGCTCGCTGATCAGCGTCGTGGTGTTCTGCTCGATGTAGTTGATGATCCGGTTCAGGGCATTCTCCACAGTAGCCATCCGATTCTCCAGTTGGCTCACTGTCTGGTCGGGGATCATCGACTCGATCTGTGGCATCAGTTCGCCTTCTTGCAGGACATCGAACAACTCGGGATCGTCGTCCAAGTCCCACGGACTGGCCAGGACCTCTGTCGTCCCTGATGCCATTGCCATGGCTTTGGCCTTCGGCTGTGCTCCTTGACGCTGTGCCGGTGGCCCATGCTCCTTCTCGGTGGCTTGGTCGGTGGCACTTCGGATCGGCACTTTCACTCCAGTCAATTCGCTCCTCTCGACCTTCTTCTCCACGTAGTAGATGAACACTCGGTGTTCCCACTTGGTGCTCTGGTGATAGTGCTGGGTGAACCACAGGACCCATTTCTGCTCCCGGCACCACATGTGATTGAACGTTTTCCCCACATGGGTACGGCCGAATTGGATCTTCATGACCTCCAGCTGGTCCATCGACATGTGGCTGAAGTCGTATTCGGGATCCGGCTGTGGCTGTTGCACCTTCTGGAGCCTCTTGGATAGGGTCGACATCGCCATTGCGTTTCCGTCGGATCACCTGATGGCTTTGTGGCACGAGTTTGGACCTGAGAGAGCTCTGGTCGCTCAACTGATGTTCATGGTTTTCACTCTTTTCCATCCGTGCATTGACATGTTCATCATGAGTATGGAATGTTTCATCTTGTGTGTTGGTGACCTGATGTGTTTGATCGACTGTGTGTTCATGGGACATGTTTGGAAATGAAGTGGACCATGCGGTGGTGACTGCAGGGGTTTTGGACACGATGGCTGGTTGTTCTTCCGAATCACACACGGTCGCATGTGTTTCGGTCGGCTTGGAAAAATTTTCAGCTGTCTGGACCGGTTGCGCCAGATCGTTTAAATCTAGGAGGAATAACCCCTTGCTGGTCAGATTCAACTGGAAACTCTTTCTAAGCTTGGTGGCATGCAAAGTGTGATGAGCAGTGTCGATGGTAGCTCCGAGAGCTCTCAGCAAGGTGTTCGACAACAGAAACGGAGTTGATCCAGGCACTACTGCAACTTTGAGCAGCAGACCTGAAATTGGCACTACCAGGGCTTGTTGGCTCTGCAAGATTCCATGGTTACCAAACCTGAAAGTGACAGAACATGGGCACCTTGTCACCTGACTGCGAATGCTGGGGTCCAAGCTATTGAGTAATTCGGGGACCAACTTACTGCCTATTACAGTCTTAGTAGCCCCCAAGTCTACAATGCCAAAACTCCCATGGGATGCAAAACAAGTCGGCTCAGGTTCAGGGTGTTCGCACTTAAGGCTTTCTGGACTGGTCATCAAGCGTCTTCGAAGACGAAGTCGTACTTCACTGTCATCGGTATCAATCCTGGCAGCGGCGGTGTCATCATTCTGGTGTGCTTTCCAGGTTCGTAGAGTTTGTTGGAGTCTAAGTTTGGTCGGATTAGGAACTTCCCCAGACTTATCTACATGTTGAACCATTAAAATCACCTCTGGATTATGCTGAGACACATCTAGGGTCATCTCTGAATGCTCAGGCAAATGCAGAAATTCCATCGGCAGGGCATCAGATGAACTCATGTCGGTCGGCTGAATCACCTGGGCAAAGGTAGTTGGAGCTTGCGGTGGCCTCGAACTTGCACCTGCAGAGTCACGACGTGTCGGGCATTCTGCCTTCCAATGTCCAACCTGATTGCACAAACGGCACCGCGACTCCAAAATCCGCTGTTGCAGGGATTTGCGGGACGAGGGATGTCCCTTCGTGAACTTGCCTTTCACACCTTTCCAGCCTCCTTTGGACTTTCCCTTCTGAGAGATCGGCCAGAAACCACGAGACCTGACCTTTTCATTGAGCCTCCGCCTGGCATCAGTGTATGCCGTGAATGCCGAGGCAAGTTCCTCGTCATTCTGCAAGAGATCAGCGGCCGCGGCCTCAAAGTCCATCACCAATGATGCGTCATCATCACCTTCTTGGGCTAGGGTTTCAACTGTTTGATCATCCTCTTCAATTGAATCGGCCGTCATTGCATACTGATCATGTTCAGTTTCGTCAATGTCATCAGCCATCAATGCAGTTTGATCATATGTTTTCAGTTTGGAAACCCTTTTTCCAGATGTCATCTCCTGGAAGAACCCGGCACCAAGCATTCGGATTGATGCACCAACCCGGGCAACAGTGAGTTCGCCCTTGTCAGTGACGTCGGCATCAATGAGGACTCTCTTCTTATCCTCTGCAGAAAGAATTGAACCTCGCAAGGTAACATACGCCTGCAAATCACTCAACTGGAACTTTTTGCTATTCAGCTCAGTCCACATGATATCTGCCCTGGCCAAGTAAGAATCAGCACTTTCATCGCTCTTTTGCATGCACTTGTAAAGGGCTCGCTCTGCGAACTCATACTTTTGCTCCAAATGGATTTGGCCCCAATGGCCACCAAGCAACTCAACGATCCGTTGGATCGACTTGCGATCGTTGACCATCAACTCAGCCTGATGCAGTTGTAGCTTCTTGAAGGCTGATCCGGCACAATTCAGGATTAACCTCGTTGCAAGTTCCGTATACTTTCCAGAGGGCCATGCTTCCAAAAGAAGGGCAACTTTCTGTTGGTATACCTGCAGATCATCCTTGCTTGGGTCGAAACTGGGAACCAGATTGGCTAACTGATTGTTGACAGTGGTGTAAGAGCTTTCCGCTCCATCAGAAGTCTCGGGCATCTCACCTCCCTGGATTCTTCCGTCGGCTATGGTAACGGAGCTCCGCTACCAGTGTGGTTGGTCAAAACACCGAACCGACACTGGCAGCAAGGACAAAACTCTCAAAACCCTCCAGGTTCAAAGCGGCAGTCTTTTCTCGGCAACCACCTGCAAAAGTCTCAGGTGCCTCCAGTGCGGCAAAGATTGAATTGGCCTAAGGGCCACCAGTGTTCTATGAGCCCCAGGCTCCAAGGAACTGCCTCGTTCCAACCAATGGCAACAAGCGAAAACAATCCTCTCCCACCCACACCGTATGGGCTGCCCTGAGCCAATGCGCTATGGCACATGCCTTCATCATTAATTGGAACCCAGGTCTGGATAGGAGTTTCAGGGGGAACACCATGTCAAGCTGAAGTGCAACGATGCAGATTCACAATATATATATATATGAGCAGGGACCCCCACACCCCCCCCCACCCAGCCAGATGGTTCCCCCCCCCTGTGGCAGGGGAGGGGGGGTTTTCTCAGCAGCCAAGCCATGGTGTATGTAGTCTTTATAGTGCATATAATGCATATGTATCGATAATTAGAATGGATATACTATATGTAATATAGAGTGTATGTGTAGTGTATATATATATAAACATATATATAATATGTAAGATATAAAAAGAATATATGAAATATATATATATTTATAATATATATAGATATATATATGACATATATATATTGAACATATATATATATATATACATATATATATATACATCGTATATGTGGTTTTTGATAGAATATAGATAGTATATGCCACATGTACTGTATCCACAGTAGATGTAATATATACAATATAGTTAAATATGTTCGTTGAATAAATTTTACATAGTATATGTGTATATTGAATATCGACAGCAATACACGCTGTATATCTAGAGTTTATGTATATATATATGCATATATATATATACATATATATATACGTGTACAGTATGTACAATGTAAACGAAATATGTGATAGATACAAGATCAAGATATCAATCTGTAGTATCTAGAATGTGCATATATATATATGTATTTATTGTTTTTCTACTGTACATATGTCTGCGTAATCCATAGGTAGCAAATATGTTGTAAACCATGTGCGAGGCACGCTATAGGCGGTTCGAAAAAAAGGTTATGATAGAAATATAAAGGTAGACAAGGTCCGTTGACGAGGTCGTGGCTCCCAAGTGCTGCAAATAACGTAGAGATGCGAGGTTGGAGGGGTGGAAAGGGGAGTATATATGTGTATATGTGTATGTATATGTGCAAATAACATGCAAATACTAGGTTTTGGGGGGGTGGGGGGGGTTAGGAGTGGGGGGGGATACCATTGGGGGGGGAGGGGGGGGGGTGTGGGGGTCCGGGGACCGGGCTCATATATATAGATAGCGGACACACCTTAACCCACCTTTATATAATTTTTAGCACCGATGTTTGACATACTCTTCAAGACATCTCTAGGAACTTTTGCAAGCTTATTTTTCTTGTCCATCACTTGATCGTTTGGCATGGGGTGCAACCTTGCTTCGGAACTCGCCCCCATAGTTTCGGCCCTTTGTTCGGGAGGAGGCAGCTGTGCAAAAGAAACAGGCACTTTTTTTTTGTGTGCGAACCAGCAGTGCACTCCGATCTGATGTGTTTGTCTGGCGGGAAAGGCCTCAACGGGTAGTGATTTATCAGCATTCATTCAAGTGGCCATTTGGGGGGTATAACCAATCTTTTTGACAAACCCATGTGGATCACTCCTGCAGATGAGGGATTCTTTAGCCCAATTGAAATTTCAGCAATGCTATCTTGCAGTCTCTTCAAGACAGACGCGGCTCAAAAAAATTTGTTTTCTGGATTCTCTACAGCACGGAAATGGCCATTCTCCGACCGAATACAACTGCAATCACAAAAGATTCTGATGTTATTTTCATATATATCTTCATTATAGCAAACATACTACTGCAAGACTCATTGCAATGTCGGAGTATAAACGATCAAATTCTGCACGGCAGGAAGAGGAAGCGAGCGCTCCAAGAAAGCAACAGGTGCGGATCTGGGTTTGAGGAAAATTGGTTGATGGGAAAAAATACGGTTGAAACCCTAGATTTTATGGTAAACAAAACCTGGTTTCCTGATGTTTCCTGCAGATGTTCTCCAACAAACAAATCTATTGATCCAGTGGTCGTCTCTTGAATTGGTCGAATAGCTTTCAGTTCCCTGTGTTGGTTGACTTCTGCCGAAACGTCGTGTAGAAGTCCAATGTACTGGCAGCAACTAGTCTCATCTTGACCTAGCCAAAACATGCGAGGCAGCAAAGGATCTGCCAGCCTTTGAGTTCTTTCCTTAGTTGAAGGGGATAGGAATTCTCCATCCTTGGCCGGAGGATCAGCGTAGGTGCTGAGTGCAGCATGATTAATTCAAAAATGTTCAAGGAAAAGAGTTGCCAATCCAACCAATCGTCAATTTAAGCAGTGCTGGTGAGAACTCCATGGGTGCCAGATTCTGAATCATGGTTCACTTTCAGACACACCCATATCCATCTTTCATTGGTTAAATCCCAATTGTTGATGGTTGCATCCCATTTGTTGATGATTAAGTCTGATATTACCATACAGTAATATCATCCCATTCTATGATAAAATACGGGTGAATTCCCAATTCTTAGGTGGTTAACTCATTAAATCATATTAAATCCCAATTGTTGACATGGCGTTTTCAGATGTTTGAATGATATATATATATATATACATATATATATATATATTATATAAACACTCATTTTGGAGGGTGATTTTTCCACATTTCTCCAGTGGTTCAGCAGGGGCCTCTCCGATGGTTCCATGCTGAGGCCCAGCGTCCTCGTTGAGGCCTTGGCCATGCTCTTGGCCTCGGAGGTGGTGGAAAGCAACGGAAATACCACGGCCGAGTGGAAGGCGAAACGACGCTGGAATGAACAACGGCAGATGGACGGCATGTGCAAAAAATACTCTACACGGTTAGGATGATTGGGCTTTATGTTTGATGATTGATTAATGATCATTAATGATCATTATATAGTGATTATATAGTGATTATATGGTGGTTGCGGGTCATACGAATAACTCGAGAGCCACGTCTTCGGTTTATGAAGACGTGGCACTTGCTGATGGTCGACTTCCCAATGAACTTAGCCAACGGAGCCGCCCGCATGCCGCATGCCGCAATCCATCCAGGAGATCCAGAGATTGGAGGAGATTCAGAGAGCTAGGAGCCAGGGATGCCAGGGACGCCAGGGACAGGTGAGATTGATGAAATACCCTCTGGTAAACTAACATAGCTATAGAAAATCACCATTTTGAATAGGTAAATTTTAAATCAACTATTCACAGTTTCTGAATTTCGGCCATAACTAACTCCAAGTGTTGGTGAGCCTTGAAATCTGAGTGGCATTACGACTGGGTTGAATAGCTGAGGCAAGCAGCCTGGCACAAAGCACGAGGCAACCCATGGTCGTCATTGACTGTGGACAGATACGCACCTCTTGATGTACCTGGAGGATTGAAGAGATGAGAGATTCAGTCCCTGCTCGAAGCAGTCGTTCGAAATCATGTGTTGCAAATTCTTGGAAATGCTGTAGATGGACATTTGAAATATTTGACCATCATGATCATCATGGTCATATTTTGGTCAGGCCACCTGCTTGAACCCGCCAATGGTTGCTGGAAGCCCAGGGACGAAGTGTTTGTTGCGAGGCTATGCAACTGCAGCGACTTGATTCTTGATGTCAAGATGTGTGACGTTTCAAGTTTAGCTTGCACTGCTTGGCATGGAAGGTTGAATGACTTGTCATGGAATTTTCTTGCAGAAATTAGAGATGCGGAGATCCATTGTAACACTGATTTTTGAGCGTTCACCGTACTTGTGTCTTTTCTTGGTTCCAGCTGTTGGGCGCTGCGCACTGCGCACAACGGGAAGCACGCCAAAGGGCTGCCGGGGGCACAGGCAATGGGCGACAAGGCCAAGAGCCTTTTCGACAGCTTCAAGGCAGCTTTCACTGCTGAGCCATGTGACTTGGTGAAGTGTGAGGACCTCCTAGGGCAGCTGAAGCTTTTGCTGTTCTCAGGCTCAGCCGTCTTGTCCGGAACAGGGACATCCCAGGAGCAGCTGCTTGTTCGAGAAACACTCGAACATGCATGCTTCCTATCAATTCGCAAACACGATCTCCCAGCTTTCGAGAGGCATGTGTCCCAGCTGAAGATGTTCTACGACAGGCAACAGGGCTTGCCACCTTCTGAGCAGAAGTACCCCATCTTGGGTCTGTCTCTCTTGAACCTCTTAGCCTCGGACCGCATCGGGGAATTTCACACGGAGTTGGAACTCATTCCAGTGGATGAAGCTGAGAACATGTACATCAAACAGCCTGTGCAGTTGGAGCGCTATGTGATGGAAGGCAACTACGCCAAGGTGCTAGAAGCTCAGAAGGATGTGCCCAAGATGTACTACGCCTTTCTGATGGAGAAGCTGATTGAGTGCGTCAGGCACAAAGTCGGAGCATCTTTGGAGAGGTCCTATGAAAATCTGCCGGCTCAGCAGGCAGCACAGATGTTGATTTTGAAAGATGTCCCTGCCCTCCAAGAGTTTGCGGTGAAAGAGAATGAACGCAAGGCCAGAGGTGAGAACGATGACCCCATGGGAGATCTCACACCTTCCCTGACCCGCAGAGCTCCAGTTGGCTTGGTGAAGTGGGAGGTCAAGGATGGACGGTTGCATTTCATCCGTTCCGAGCAGAAGAGGCTTGAACTCCCAGCCGTGGATTTGATGGTGAACACCATTGGCTACGCCACCGACCTTGAGCGCATTGTGTGAGTGAAGCGACCAATTGAGGATCTATAGCCGGCCGCGACCAACCGGAAGCTGCCAGAAAAATGGACCTTCCGAATGAGCTGCCGTGCTTCAAGCTTCAGCATGTGTATGAGTCAATGCCACTCATTTTGCGTTGAATAGATATTGATAACCCAATCAATTGATAAAAATAGATCATCCTTGCCATAAATGTGTCATATTCAAGTACCTTCGGTAATCGAAAATAGCAATGGAAAATCATAATGTTTAACAGGTAGACTCAGGTAGACCATCTCGAAATTGGCCATTTTCCATGGCTATGTTGAAATACGGGGCTACATTCCTTCCTATCCCTTCCCCCTTGTGACTTATCGGTCTTCCCGAGGTGGTGCCTGGCGCATCTGTCAACGCGTTGCTCAGCTGATCCACCGTAGGATTGATGAAAGATGATGAAAGATGATGAAAGTGTTGCCTGAGCATTGCATGGGGGACCTGATTTAACATTGAACAACCTTCAGCTGAGCTAAGATTTCCAATATATTTCAATTGCCTTTCGCATCATCCTGAAAGGGTTCCTCTGGCCTTTCCCAATCCTCATCTTGGGCCGCTTGCCAAGGTGATACAGTTTGAGCAGGGATTCTCTGAGCTCTAAAAGTCCACAAGAAAGAAGGAAAACTAACAAACAACATGAAACAACATCAAAAAGCAACATGTTCATCTATGGCATCCTGATATTTTTTTGACTATTTGCTGTTGACCCGGAACCTCTGTCCAAAGCGTAGCTAGGATAGGTTGCAGCAAGAACCGCCAAAGGCGTCAATGGCTGCCAGCCGTCTCAGACACTGAGGAAAAGGAGTTGGATGTGAGAAAAAGGGCTTGGCAAATGTCGGACTGGGGATTTTCAATATCACCTTTGAATGACTTTAAACAGCTGTGGCTGATGATCTCTCTATCAGATGGGCGATATTCACATGATTCAAGTGGAACATTTCACCATCCCTTTGACATTGCAAATGCAAATGTCTGCAAGAAGAATTAACATGGAACTAGACATGGAACTAGACATGGAACGACTCTTTTTGCCTTGAACCTGGGCTCAGTTGGAAGCTTAACATGAAAAACACCCTGGAGACTTTGTTGAGCCTTTTCCAACGATTTCGAACCTGGAGGATCCCTTCGGCCCAAGTGGACCACAGCACATGAACGGGTTTCGAATGTTCGTAGCACTGCTCCAAGATTCACAACGACGTATCACAAGAATTTGCCTTCCAGAAGTGGTAGCAGAACGTGGTCTGCTATGCTTAGGGCCAGTGCAACAAGCAAGGGTTTGATGTCGGCAACAGCCATTGACTCCAGCACCTTCTGTCAAAAAGGCTGGATTCAACTGTCAGATTCTTCCAAAAATATGCCCGAAAGATTCTCCAAGTGATTCCTGTGTGATTGCTTGGGTTTTGATGAATCATAGGAATCATATGAATCCCAAATGTTGATTGCTTGAGGTTTATTTTTCCAAAGGTTTCTCAACATTTTCCTCCGCCTCGTAGCGTCGTTTCCCTGCCGCTGGTCCAAAGGCCCGTCTGAACTGAGGTGACACATGGGAGACAGGGCATGACAGGGCGACAGTCGAAAAAGACAATATGTGTATGATGATGTCAGTTATATAAGTATATATGTATATATGTATATATACACCGTGAGTCACATGTACATATTTTTCTGTTTGATATTCGTCTTATACTGAGTATCTTTGTTGATTTGTTTATACGAACCATCCAATTTGGGATTTGAGTCTGACATCTGACAGTTCAACCCACCAACGCACGGCAAGGCCAGCGAGATCGATGTCCTTTAAAGATCTTGGCTCTAAAGGAGCCGGGACTTCCATGATCCCATTGGATAACAGGAACATCTACAGGAAACCAGGAAAGATATTTGATGGTAAAAACCATGGGTAACAGGAAGCAGATTTTCGCGTAAACTTTAAACCAATCCATTTCCATGAGATATTTCTTTCTTCATACATTTTGAACATTTTGACAACTCCGTGCTGGAGTGTTTTTACTTCTTCTTGAAACGGAGATCAAGCCGGTCTGGAAAATTGAGCGGATCACAGTTGGAGACCCAGCTGTAAGAATTGACTTTCAAAAAACCGAGTAGGTTGATGATGAAAGGGGGGTTACTACCCAATCTACTAGGGACTATCATTGGTAATCATCATCCATCATCATCCAATATGGCAATTCCCAGCAAGCAGATTTGGGATTTTCCACTACATCCCCGTCAAATCGCATTAAGTCCAAACAAATGCTGGATAAATCCACATGAAAACCACACAATACAACTTAGGGATTTTGCCAACGTTTGTCTCGTGGTCTTAGCGTGTCAGGATTGTCAAGCCGTCGGCCCCAAAATGAGCGTGGCACAGAGGCCCTAAGTGGCGTTGATAGTGACATTCCCAGACAACCAACGAACATGGGGATATGACCATCAACAATAGGAATTTCACCAACAATACTGATATGGGATGATATGGGTGTCCCTGGAAATGCAGGAATTTGCCGCCAATTTCTGTCCATTTGGACACAGGGGAGATTCGGTGATCAACCGTGGAGATTTTCGTGGGGTTCTGGTGGTTTGTGGTTTCCGAAATAAATCACTCAAGTCATCAGATTTTGTCAGCAATCCCATGGTTTGCCTCGTCCAAAATACTGCTTCTCTTGGGTGAGGAAACCTTTGGGATACAACAGGGTAGACTACAAGATACCCTCTGGTAAATAAACATAGACCCTGAAAATAGCCAAGTTTTAATGGAAACTAGTCTTCCAACCCCTATCTGCCAGGGTCTATGTTAATTTACCAGAGGGTAATGAGAAGAGATTTATACATGTGTGTTTTTCTCCTGGTTTTCAAGAGCTCTGGGCACAGGGAGAGACGAGCTTTGAGCAGAGTATCAAGGCTGAGGCCTCAGTTTGGATTGGTAAACATGGTTACCCAACCTGGTTATGACTAACAGTTTGCCATGGTATAGATGGCCCATAGAAATAGATGGTTTACCTATTAGTAGCATGGTGATTTTCCATGGCTATGTTAAATAACCAGATGGTAATGGTTGAAATCAAGGGCTGAAGACCCCTGTTGAACTTGCCATTCAAAAATGTGCTGAGGCCAACATTCAAGAGATCCAGGACAGAACCGGCCTGGAAGGAGTACAGATCTTCGATCTTCGGTTTGTCCTTGAAAATTGGCTTGCCGCGAAATCGCGAAATCTGTTGCTGGGGAATATGAGGTTTTAAAGTACCATGTTTTTGGGGGTACCGAATTTCAATCAGACACGCCCAGTTGCTGTTTCTCGGTCCTGGAGTTGCTTTTGATTTCCATTTTCATTGCATCTCTTTCCTTCGATTTTCTTTGTCTGGAAATAGGGGGAATAGGGTACCCCAAGACCCAATGGTTTGTCAGCATTTTCCCTATGAAATAGCCATTTTGGGGAATATGATATACCAAATTTTCGGACGCACCCAATTGGACACCATGGTGAATGCACGTTGTGGAGTCGCCCTATGGTGGTGTCGAAGGACTTGCTCCACAGAGCCAATGAACAGCTTGAGCAGTCGCAAAGGACGCCATCGCAATCTTTTCTCAGCCGGGTTTTGTCCGGAAATAGGAGATTTAGCCCCAAACCTAGTGGTAATTTCAGTGGGGAAAGTTATGATAAACCATGATAAACCATGATAAACCACTGGGCTACTGAGTTACTACATGTTTGGACACACCCCACGTAGGAACATGTTGCGCAATTTGGGGTGGGATAAGGAGGACTACAGCCCACTGATCAATGATTCTCAGTGGCAGATTCCGTGAACAACTCCAACAACAGTAGGACTGTAGGAGAAACAAACAACTATCAATTCATAAGTTGCAGGTGACATTTCAGCCAACCCGAACAATGTCAACATAATAAGGGGCTACGCCCCCTGCCGCCGACCCCTGGGAGAGAGGGGGAGTTGACACATACGTCACTTCCCGAACCTACAAGAAAACTATATGGGTACGAATCAAAATACAAGGTATGGATCAAGGCGCCAAAGCTACACACGATCCATACCCCCCGATCCATACTTTGATCCATACCCTTGATCCATACCCCAGATCCATACCCCTTTCTCGTTGAAGAAAGACTGATGCTGGCCTTAACGATGCTTTTTATCCTAATATATACTGCTTCTGGTCGTCGTACTGCTACTCCCATCGCTACTACCGTTGCTTCTACTGCTGCCTCCACTGCCTCCGCTGCTGCTGCCGCCGCCACTACTAGTGAGTATCCTCCCAGGAGCTGCTGCTACTGCTCCTGCTGGTCGTGCTCTCGCTGCTGGTGCTGGCTCACGTTCTCCGTGTGCTTCGGTAGTTGGACAAATGTAACTAGTTGACTAGCTACTCGCAATATTGCAAGTGCACCTTGGAGGCTTGTAAGACCGGTTCTACTTCCACTAGGTGCTTATTGTACTTCTAGTGGTGCTATGACTACAACTCCTTCTGTTTCTACTTTGCCTGGCACGTGTAGAACTAAAAAAGCATGGTGTCCTGATCCATACCCCGATCCAGACCCGTTCCATGCCTGGTCCATATCCGAACCCAGTCACGCCCATGGCAGTGAAGGACGGATTGGGCCCGCGGCCCGTATCCCAGACTGCCAAACGTCACTTTCTGAACCGACTAGAAACTAGCTCCAAACCTTGACTTTTCCTGCGTTTCTGCACTGCCAACTGCCACCCTGCTCGTGTCCTCCTGGAGCCGGCTTTCGTTCTGCACCGCTTCGGTCCAAGCTGGAGTCCAAGGACCGTGTCGCAGGGCTAAAACACCATGGCAGTGAAGGACGGATTGGGCCCGCGGCCCGTATCCCAGACTGCCAAACGTCACTTTCTGAACCGACTAGAAACTAGCTCCAAACCTTGACTTTTCCTGCGTTTCTGCACTGCCAACTGCCACCCTGCTCGTGTCCTCCTGGAGCCGGCTTTCGTTCTGCACCGCTTCGGTCCAAGCTGGAGTCCAAGGACCGTGTCGCAGGGCTAAAACACCATGGCAGTGAAGGACGGATTGGCCCGCGGCCCGTATCCCAGACTGCCAAACGTCACTTTCTGAACCGACTAGAAACTAGCTCCAAACCTTGACTTTTCCTGCGTTTCTGCACTGCCAACTGCCACCCTGCTCGTGTCCTCCTGGAGCCGGCTTTCGTTCTGCACCGCTTCGGTCCAAGCTGGAGTCCAAGGACCGTGTCGCAGGGCTAAAACACCATGGCAGTGAAGGACGGATTGGGCCCGCGGCCCGTATCCCAGACTGCCAAACGTCACTTTCTGAACCGACTAGAAACTAGCTCCAAACCTTGACTTTTCCTGCGTTTCTGCACTGCCAACTGCCACCCTGCTCGTGTCCTCCTGGAGCCGGCTTTCGTTCTGCACCGCTTCGGTCCAAGCTGGAGTCCAAGGACCGTGTCGCAGGGCTAAAACACCATGGCAGTGAAGGACGGATTGGGCCCGCGGCCCGTATCCCAGACTGCCAAACGTCACTTTCTGAACCGACTAGAAACTAGCTCCAAACCTTGACTTTTCCTGCGTTTCTGCACTGCCAACTGCCACCCTGCTCGTGTCCTCCTGGAGCCGGCTTTCGTTCTGC